CACTAAAGGCTCACGCGCCTTTTAAAAAAATTGGGTCGGGCCCGCTGACCCATTTGGGCCTTTGATCGCACCCAAAACATTCCGCATGGGCTTTGGCCCATTCCTAAACCACCACAACCTCACGTGATTTTTAAAAGGGTCATGCGCGTCCAACCCCTGGCTCGGTTTGGTTTTAACCGGTCTAGTTTCAGTTCTTCCCTGGACCAGCCCCTTTTCCTTGTTCAAAAAAGGCAGATTGGCGCCGGTTACGACCTGTGCAAAAGACCTGCCACCCTCCAAACTTTTCACTGCTCCCACACGCCTAAATCCCATCCCCTGAATGCTACCCTTTTGTTTCTCCAGTCTTTGTTTTTCCATTTTAGTGAAAGTTCTATTCTTGTTTGAATCATCCAATCCGTTCTTGCCACGCAGTTCTTCTTCTTCAACCTTCTCAACTCCCTCCCTACGAGCCTCTTTCTAGAGCATCGATTCAATGGATGAAGCCATCCATACTGAGTAACAGAGCCCTTCAACTAGCACCTCTATCTTCCAAGGAATATCCTCAGGTTTTACACCATTCAATAAAATGGAAGCTGAACAAAGGTCTCCCCAAAAGGCACCTCCTAATGATCCTCCACACATCAAAGCAATGGCTTCAGCAACTTCTTGCTTCCACAAGTTAAAGGGAAGTCCTAAGTTGCGCACCAGTACTCCACCTTCAACAAAGAAATCTTTGGAGTTTGATCCCGGACACCATCTTGATACTGTGAGATTTCCAAGATCAGCTTGGATATTTAATGCCTCAACTTCTACTCTATTCTCAAGCAGATCCARCACAGCCTTGTCCTTCTCAAAGGGTGTTAAAATAAACATGCTCTTCAACTTTAAACTTGCTGTTAACTGATCTGCAACTTTCCTCCAGTCTAGTATATGAGCTGAGGCTTTAACTATCAGCTTACTTTCCCAATCTCCTCTCTGTAAGTTTACTCCCATTCTGTATTTGCCTGCCCCAGCTGTCACTAAAATAGTCTCTTGCTTATTATTGCTCACCAGACTAGTAGAACTGCTTATCTTCCTTTTTACTGTTACTTCTCTTTTAGCACCCAAGCGTTGCAGCAGTTCACATAAGACCCCATGAACTGCCTGCCTTCCAGCCCTGACTCTTCCTTCCTTCTGGGAGGCAGACCATTTGCTTTCTACCCTTGCCAAAAAATTCTGTCAAAGAAATAAAATAACCTTTAAGGTTTCTCTTACACTCTACAACARACCTTCTTCCAGTTTCTGAGAGAAACTCTTTCCAACTATTTTGTTTGCCTTTGTTACTTGCACCTTCTACAAACTCCTTGAACCCTTCAATTACCCCAAACCTTCTAACAGCACCATCCCTCTCTTTGCTTCCCTGATTTTCAAGCTCAGCTGACCATTTAATCTCAGCTCCTCAAATAGAATCTCCTTAGTTTCAATTTTCAAAGCTTTTCTCCAACGGCCTACCTCCACAAACTCCCCCATCTCTCCTCTCATCACATCCTTCTCTCTCTCTTCTTCTTCTTTTCCTCCTCCTCCTTTTTTCTTTCTATCTCTCTCTCTTCTTCACTCCAGCATCACATCCTTAGTTGAAAGAACTTTTAACTCAGCACTCATCATATGTCTTCTTTATTTAAAGAGGACAAGGAGGAGATCGTAGCAACAGTAATGGAGGGACAAGGTAGAGGTCAAACTTATAATTCTCAAGGAAGGGGTTTCATACCAACATCCCCTAAGCATGTGTTCAATGATTTGGTTTTTCATTTGATTGATAGCATGCTTGTGTTTTATTGGAGGGTTGCATAAAAGTGCTGTAATTGTGTAAACTCACCATTCAGCATGTCAGGCTACCTTGGCCTTTCTAAATTATCATAATAAGGTACCACCCTCAAGGCAATCTTTATTTTTTCATATGCTAGTGGGTTATTAATATGTCATTTAGGGTGGTAAGAGCAGGATGTACACACCGAATAATATGGTTTTTTGTTTGATTAATAGCATGTTTGTGTTTTATTAGAGAGTGGCAAGCAAGTTTGAAACAAAATCACCTAAGCAAACACTCACTAAGTGATTTGGCTATTCATCTGGTTGATAGCATTTCATGTTTTATTGGAGGCTCAAAAGAAAGTGTTGTGATCATGTGAATACATATCTCCACAAATTAATCTATCTTTCTATTTCCCGATTGTCAAAGAAAAGGAGTGGTCCCTAGAGGTATACTTTTCAAGGCATCAAGGTGAGGTTAGGCGACAGGAGCTAGGCAATGGCCTTTTTTATTTATAGCATGCTTGTGTTGAACTAACCATTCAACATGATAGGCTACCTTGATATTTCTAAATTGTCATAGTAAGATAGTAAACCCTAGATGCAATCTCATTTTTTTCATATGTTAGCAAGTTGTTGGTGTGACCAAATTAAGTAAAATTCTCCTGGTTTTTTTTGAAGATAAATAAAGAAGAAAATTTTATTAACTCTAAAAAAAGATTACAAGAGAATCTAGTGACCAGGAGCCACCACAACAAAACAAAAAACAAAACATATCATCTCAGCTTTTCAAATAAATTACATCAACTAATATTCGTTGAGTGCCAAAAATTCAAGATGAAATCTTCACTTTTTAAGCCTTCAAATTTTGAAAGAATCAACACCCAAACCCATCAGCTTTGCCCTATTGACTGCACCTAACCTTTCCTTACTCTTCATCTTTCCTTGAAAAATTCTTATGTTTCTTTCTTTCCACACTTCTCAACAAACCACAAATGGGACACAGCTCCATAAGATCATTGCCTTAATTTAATGTCTCCATTGAACACCGACCAATGCTCAAAAATCCCCTTTGATACACTAGAAGACCCACCTTCCAATTTAAAGAGATGAAAAAAATAGCCCTATACGCCTTTTAAGAAACTACAGCTCACCAACAAATGTAATATGTTTTCTTCCACAGAAAGAGACATCATGCATCTGTTTGTCATGTGAAAACCTCTTTTCTTCGGCTTATCTTTTTGAGAAACTACAGCTCACCTCTTTACTTTGGCTTATCTTGAGTAAGAATGATGTTCATTGCCACCAAACACAAGAAAGTTTCCACTCTCGGAGGGATTGAATTCCCTCAAACAACTTTGCTTGAATTACATCCCACCTGATTTCTTGCCAATGCTTTGTAAACACCTAACTGAGTATTTTCTATTCATGCACTCCTTCCACCACTTGGCATCTGCACCCCTAATTCAATCCCCACCTCTTGTAATTAGCTAATAGCACCATGCATTCCTCCACTTCCCAATCCAACAAAGGTCTTCTATAAGTAGGGGTGCAACTTTTCCGGGTTAGGGTTGGGATTTTGTCAAAATTTCAATAGGCCCAACCTGAAGCCCGAGCCCGAAACAGTGTAAACTGTTAACTCGGGCCAACCCGACTTGCACCCCTGTCTATAAGTAGGACACCAGACCACCATCCCCTGCCTTACCTCATTAAATTGAGAGATCATCAACCCCTTCCTGCTCAAACTATACAACCTTGGGCAGAAACCATAAAGCTTCCCCACCTCTAACCATTCATCCTCCCAAAATCTGAAACATGACCCATTCCTCACCCTCCATAACATGAAAAGCTGCGACAAGGAGTGGTATCTCATAATTCACTTCCCTTGAGTCCCACCCAAAATTCACCATACCATATTTGCATGCCACCACCTTCCTCCACATAGCCTCCCTCTCCCTCTCCCTCTCCCTCCCAAACTTCCAAACCCATTTGCCCAATAAAGCTTTGTCAAAAGTTCCAACCCTCCTTGTTCCCAAACCCGCTTCTTTCCTTTCCCTACAAACCCAATTACACTTATCAAATGAAATCTCTTTTTGTTCCACCTTTTCCACAAGAATTTCTTTGAAGCCTCTCAATTTCTTCTACCATAGATGTCAAAGCCTTGAGGATATGCAACTAATATATCAGTAAATTTGGATATTACACTTTTTATGACTGTGATCCTTCCCCCAAAAGACATACTTCCTATCCCAGCCCGCCAACCTTTGTTCTATTCTATCCAATACTGGTTGCCAAGTAGATAAAGCTACTGCCCTTACCCCAATTGAAAGTCACAAATATGTGAAAGGGAACTCATCAATCAAGCATCCCAACATAACAGCACACTTCTTTTCATTTTATGGTTATCTCTTCTATATTAGATTTCAATTTCTCACCCCAGCAGAATAAAGAAAACTAGAGATTCATATGTCCCACAAATATGAGTGTGACTGAGGGCTTTGTTCGGGAAGGTTGATTTAACTAGCCAGTGAATTCAGATGGGACTTCTTTTTGATTGGTAGATATGAAAAGAATAGAAGATATATACAGAATAGTTTATACAAACAGTGCCCAATACTCCTACAATCTTCGATCTTCCCTATAATCAGCCCATTTTTTCAAATTTCTCTGCATCACTTTACCCTTCTGAACAGAATGGTGAAAGAGGACTCATGTAGCCGACCCCATATAGTTGGGATAAGGCTTGGATGATGATCACTTTACCCTCCTGTTCCCTATAAATAGTTCCCCCAAAACAATTTGGTTCTACTGCTGCCCTGTCTTGCTAGGGTATCAGCCACACTGCTGATCTTCATGTCCAATCTGCCATGGTATTCAGCTCCCTTGCTGAATTTAGATAGGACTTCATTTGCAATGGAGATCATGACCTTTCAATCAGTCCTTCATTTTAGGAAGCTAGGAAATTTACTGATTAGGGCCATAGTGGGCTGAGAAAGGACAGATATTGATCCAAGACTACAACTATAACAGCTTGAAATAAACAACATTAACAAAATGCTCAGGAGCTTTGAAATTCCAGAAGAGAAATATGTAGAGTTCAAAAAAGCAATAGCAAAAACAACTGACTATGAAGATTACATCAATCCATATGTTGGACAGGTAACTTAGAGCATTAAATTTATACAAGTTTGATAAAAGAATAAGCAAAAGCAGGAATATGGTGGCATAGTTACCATCTCGACGAACTGCAATTTCTCTTATGCGCCTAACAAGACCAGTCATTGGATCACTAAAGATTTTTGTCTCCAAGTTCCCCTCGACATATAGCATTGACCTACAACCCATACATAATAAAAGAGCAACAAAAGAATCAACTGAAGTCCTTAAAGATGATAACCAGCATTAGGAACAAATCTAACATAGCATAAATGTCAATTATGGTTTGAAAGCCTATTTCAAGGGAAAGGTTAATAATTGGAGCAAGATCATATATACAGAGAACAAATCTATATAAGTAGGATGCATATGTTATGCATTGTCAAGGCCTTGCACTTCCAAAACTCTAGTTAGACTTAGACAACTGACTCACAACACATGAACTTTGTGTACTTTTTTCAAAAACATTTAAAACATCGTATAGAATTAGAAGTATGGTTCAATAAGACAGTTAAAAGACCAGTTAAGATGAGGGTGTTGAGATGGATGTGTGGTAAGTAAGACTAGAAAGGAGGGAATTATAAATAAGTGCATTAGAGAGGACTAAGGGGTAGGCCTAATTTGTGACAAGGTGAGGGGAAATCAATTAGAGTGGTTTGGAGTGGCAAAGAATGATTTAAGGATTAACAAACTGACAGAAAACATGACTCGTGATAGGGATAATGGCAATGCAGGGGTTGTGTAGCCAACCTCAAATAGCTGGAACTAAGGCTGACTTCAGTTGGAGTTCCGTAGAAATTAAGGCCTATTGAGTTGAGTTGGGATTTGAAACACAATAGAATTGACCGGATCGGAGAGATGCATAGGTGGTCAATTACCTTCTCTGCAAAATTCTGCACTACTCGTTATTTTTTACTAGGACTTCCAGTGAAGTTCATAACCCATGAGCATGAGATACAAGATATTGAACTGTTCTTCATATAATAATAACTTTTCTACTAGGACCTTATGCATTGCCAATCTAACGTTTTAGCTAAAAATGGAAGAAAACAGCCTAGACAACCAAATTCTTTTGTGCATACGGTTGAGCAAGTAAATTGACAACGTAGACCACCACTATGCTTTATTTAAGTGAAACAACAGCACCTCGAACATCAATTGAAGAAATGATTACAATAAACCTCAATCAACTAAAAGCGATTGTCAAACTTAACTCAACCATAACCGCAACTATTTGGAATCGGCTAAGATATAGTTGGAAGTGAAACTAAAAGAACCAAATCTCACCCGGGTTTGACGTTCTTCAAGGCGAGTCCACCCAATCTCTCCGGGTAGACAGCAACTCTGTGCCATTGAACAGCACATCGATCAGCGTATTCCCTCGGCTGTTCGTTCTCGAACGGCTTCCGGTTGTTTCGGATTCCTCCCGTCCCCAAAGAAAACAGGGTAACGAGCCGACCGCTCTTCAACTGCTTCTGAACCGGACTCTGCCCAACCTGTCCAATCAAAATCGCCTGGAAAGAAAACACCGTCAGTAAATTTATAACAAAGAAAGAGAGCCTAAATTAACAAGAGCAAAACCCTAAACGCATCCACATGAATGTACCTTGTAAACCCCGACATCGATACCGTTTTCAAGGGGCCTCTGGTAGATGGGCCTTCGTTGGTTCGAGTCCGTAGACGACGACGGTGACGAGGAGGAGGAGGAGGAGGAGGAGGTGGTGGTGGTGGTGGAAGAGGAGGAGTTTCTATCAAATCCGAGCCTGGAATCATCTGAATCAGATTCATCGTTGGATGTAATATTTGTGCAGAAACTCAACGAAACATGAGCGGGTCTTGCGGTGGATATAAAAGAACGAGACAGCCTTCTCGATAGGGAAGTCATGGCGGACGCCATTGAAGGCTGAAGCTGGATTAGAGCTAGTTGCTCGCTCGCTCACGCTCGCTCGCTCGTTGTCACTTCTGTCTTAAACCCTTAATCAGCAAAACCCTTGTGCGGAACGAAGGAGAGCACACTCCCGCCGGACAAAAAAAAAAAAAAGKGGAAAACCAATACTGATTTGGGTCAAGAATGAGTTACAGGCTTACAGCTAGTCGGGGTCGGGTCTCCGATTTGAACAATTTACACTGCATCGGGCCCGGTGTTTCAGGCCGGGCCCATTCAAAATTTAACAAATCCTTAGCCCAAGTTGCAACCTATTTTTCCAATTCCAGGCTTCCAACTGAAAATGGGTCGACTTCAAATCAACGTATACGATCCGGTCCGACCAGTAACTGTGGGACCGGGACTATTTCGGTTGAGCTGTCAATGGGTCAGGCCTGGTTCGAAACGGCGAACCATTTAAAAATCGATTATTTATCACTTTTTTATTGGTAGACTATTTATCGATTCGATAACTCCCAAAAAACCTATGATATAGCAACTTAAAAATTCTTTTTTTTTATAATAATATAACCTTAATCAAAATAATGATAGCAAATGGTAAAATATTTATATGTTGATAAAACAAGTATTTGTAACCAAAAGTTATCTTATATAGTGGCTATGAAATTTACTCTTTTTATTCTATATATGCTTTAAACTTAGGTGTTTATATCAGTTTATTCTCTCTCCTCCTCTTATTACTTCTAAGGAGATTGAATAGGGTTGGGGGTTATGGGTTCGGCCGGGGGGTGGGTTATCCCCGTTGTGTAATTCCACGAAAAAAAAAAAAAAAGAATTGTGGCCTTTTTTTGAATTTTTAAAAATACAAAAATAAATATCAGCTAATTAAATTCATCCACAATCAATTCAGTTTAATCACAAAAATATTAATATCTTTTTGACACCACACATCAGTCCATGCATCACACGTCTTGCTAGTTTAGACTTTAGACATGAATGATAACAAAAACTAGAAGAAAACCAAGCGATCCTTACGCACTATCAATTACACAAAAAACATGAATATCATGAATGATAACATAAATCAATCTGAGTCTGGATCATTAAAATTAGTCCTAATCCAATTATAATTGGGATATAAAACTCTGAACTATAACTAGTATGATTAGTTCGGTCAATTTATAGCCAATGGCAATCTTTGGCAATGGCTTTTTCTCTTGCACCTATGCATGTGTGTGTGAAGTTCGCTCTAGCACATCTATGCTAGTATGGGGACCGGATCTATGTAGGTACATCAAATTAAGCATATTAAATGAGCATTTAATAAATATTTTGACAATTTTCAAAAGTTAGTATTAATCTTTTTCAAGGGTGGGGTGAGGTATTCTAAGGGACAGGTGTTGAAAAAAAATTCAAATGCTCATTGAATGTGCTTACAACTTCGTGCCTATATCATCTGAGCTCATTAATATGAATTTTCCTCTTGCATATGTGAACCTAAACCTCCCTCACCCCTCTCAATTTGGGAGGCTTTTTCTTTTTCTTTTTTTATTTTTGCATTTGTTGATGATGGTTTTGTGAAAGAGTTTGGTGTTAGTCCCTATTTCTTGATTGGCAAAATTTTTACATTTGGATTTATGCATTGTTGAGCACACAGTGTTTGGGTGGCATTGGGAATTTAAAAAATTATGATTCCTTAAAAAGAGGTAAAAGATATCCTCTTATACCTACGTCTGTTTTGAAGTGGATTTTGGATTTGTCAAGGACAAGGGTTTTGCTTGGCAATTCTTTTTCTCTAAGACCTTTTGGTTTGGTTAGGGTAGTTAGGTTTTTTCAATGTTTTTATTGGCTTTGTGTTGGTTCCGGGAGTCTTCGTTGGTTATATGGTATTTGTTGGAGGCTTGTTGACCTTTGTTCTCTAGGCTTAGTTTGGAAAGAGTATAAATACAAATTTGTATAGTGCAAAATCTCATATTTTGTATGCATTTGTATTGTACATATTTGTATTTGTATTCTTTCCAATTTGAGCCCTACTGTTTGTTCAACTTTTTGATGATGATTGCAAAGACCTTGCTCAATTATACTTGTTTGGTTGTGCATCATTGGGTTCTTGTTTGTTTTTTTTTTTTTTTGGTTTAAGTCTTGAGTTTGTTGGTTGTTTATAAGTGGTGTGTCTTTGAGTTTGTTGTTGTGTTGTTAATTATGCTCCTTGTATCATGTATCATGTGCATTTTCAATGAAGATTAGCCTTTGGTTTAAAATAAATGATGGCAAGGTTTTTAAAACTGGACCAGACAGGCAACCGTTATGGGGTCCGGTTCTCAGGTTAAATAGTTCAACCATTTGGTCCAAACAGATGGCCCGCTCTAACATAAAAAACAAAAGATTTAAAAAATGTCAAAAAATCATTGTTTGAATCGATGGTTTGATAGCCTGGGTCAATGGTTCACTAACCAAATCAATGTTTTTTGGCCAAAAACAATTTTAGGGTAAAATAGTGACCAATTCCCGGTTTTCTAGTCCAACCATCCGGTCCAATTTTGAAAACCATGAATGATAGTATCATGTAGCAGGTCATTTATGGTGAAATTACATAGGTTATAAACTCACGACGGCACATCAATATATTTGGTTGGTTGCTTGGTTTCCTTGATTATGCATATAGTTGCAGGCAATGTTTTAAAAATCGACCCGAAGGCCGAACCATTTTTGCCTCTAGGTCGCGGGTCACCGGTTTGACTAGCCAGGTCAAACGGTTCAAACCGTGCCATCAATATATACTGGCCATATATATATGTATGTGTGTGTGTACATATGTGTATAAATATATATTTTAGCAATAAATAATGTATAAATATATTTTAGATATGTTATATGTATTATTGTATATTTAATTTATGCTTTTTAATTTAGTTTTTATTTTTTTTATTTATAAAAAATATTAAAATTTACAATTTGAGGCCAAAAAAGGGATTTATTTTTTCATGAAAATAGTGGGGCAATGCACCTATGATGCCTTGGGACGCATAGATCTCAAAAAGTTACAAAAAAAATCACCCCATTTGAATATTGGAGTGCAGGGCATGAAGTATGGTTGCATTCCAGTCATCATTGTGAAATGACCCTCCCAGTTTTTCATCCGCAGATCGATACTGTGGATGCACTGCATAGCTTGTAAAATTGGCGGCTGTTAATCCCAATAGGAACCACCAAGGGCTCAACTGTTGAAAGAGGCATAGTCAGAGTGGGCAGGGGAGGAAGTTCAGTAATGGGGTAGCTAGGATGCATAATAACTTTAGGGGGATGGTGATCTACCCGATTATGATAGATGAGTTTTATACTTGTTGCACAAATTGGTTCTACCCCTAGTTGTAATGCTATCAACTTGCATGTTGTCAGCGTTGTTAACGTTGGTGTTGCTCGAAGATGCCATTGCAAATTGTTTTGTGGATTGGTGATAACTTAGCTTTGACGTAGCGGTTCCCACAGACGACGCCAATTGCTGTTGCACGATCTGGTAGCTCCCTATTGGAGGACAACTCGGATGTCGAGCTGGTGAGATCCCTTGGTCGAGCTGCAAGAAAACAATATCAGAGTACCCATATTGCTTTACCCGAGATGGGCACTCTGATGCTTAAGTCAACGAAGAGTATTTAGATGCTTAGAAAATGAGAGTGCAAGAGAGCTGTGAGATGCTAAATCGCAAGTACCTTGTCTAATTAAAGGAATGCCTTGTATAGGCGCTCGTTGTCGTGGGCTTCACATAGCGTGTTTGAGATCACTGGTTCATCTCGTTCGGATGTGGTTTCATGCTTGGAGACGGAGATGATAACCCACTCGTGAAGGATGTCGCCTATCACGTCATGCAGGTTGCCAGTTGGGTCTCAGTCAGGTCGGCGGAAGCATGTCGCTTCTTATGCCAATCTAACCCTTTTTGGGGCGTTCGTAGGTTGACTTGCTGAGGTGGGGTCGAGGCAGTTAAAGCATGTGCAGTGTGTCCGAAGTGCTTCCGAAGTCATTGCCTATATGGCACTAAGGTATCATATGACAGTTTTAGGGTGTCCCGTGTCACGATGTCACTAAAGAGCCAAATCACCCCTCATCCGAATGAAATGTGAACAAGGAAATAAATAGACATACTCTTATAGGCCTTGAGAAATGGAGACATGAGTTGAAGATAAGAGAGATCTTGCAAGTTTGGAACTTTGAGATTTAGGTAGTGCTTGGTAAAATTGACTTGTGATGTCTAAGAGAGCAAAAAATATCTAATGTGTGTTTCATGCTTTGAATAGTCAAAGTTTGTTATTTTACTCTAAATGCAAAATTGCCTGAATATTTGGCTATAATAGTAGTAGTAGTAATATTTGGATATGCAATTTGAATTATTACTTTTCATCTTATTCAATTCATTTTCATTAAGTATTATATTTAAGGTATTAAGTATGTTAATAAATTCAATCAATTAGATCTACATCCTATATTTGTAAAAAGTAGAACTTGTTTTTTTTTTAATCGACAATATTGTTATTTTCATCACGTAAGCAATCACATAGGTCAAATAGGTAAACCCATGGTGTCATAGTCAAATAATAAAATAAAATATTTTTAAAATAAAAATAAATAAAATTTCACAAAAGAATGTAGAAAAACTGGGCATATCTCAAATATTTGACTTAATTGTTTATATTAATGAAAAAGAAAAAGTGTAAAAAAATTGGGCACATCCCTCTAATTGTTTATATTAATCACATTAAAGAAAATAAACATGATAATGAAAAATCACTTTTATCGATGAAGGAAATAAAATACAAAATTTAAAACCGACAAAAAAATATGGAATTATTTTCTTGTTCAGTGGCAAATAAACAATTCAACATTTTTGGGTCACATGTGCAAAACCTTAATGTCATAATTAAACAATAAAAATTAAAAGATAAACATACAAAAAATTATAACAAATGCTTTCTTGTAAAAAAACACTTAAGGCACATTTGTAGTATCATATTCATTATTTCAAATAAAATAATTATAATAAATAAAAAATATTTGTATACACATAAAAATATAAAAAAACTGAAAACATATTATTACTATCATCATCATCTTAATGTAAATTTGCTATATGTAATATTAACATATACAAAGCACATTTAAATTTGCTAATAAAGATAAAAGCGTTAAAACATGAGTATTAACCCTGCATGAACATGACATAATAAAACACCAAGAAAACCTGCATGAACATGATAAATATAGGTATAAAAGATAGATATTAAATACTAAAAATATAGTAAATCAATAAACCGACTAAATATTACGATTGATTAGTGATTATCCCACCCCTCCCCCCCCAAAAAAACTAAATATTACGATGAAATCCGAATTTTCTCTGATATTTGATGGAATCCCGAAATTTCGTCCTCGATAAATCCACCCCAAAATTTCGGGATTTCGTATTTAAAAGCCAAAATCATGTTTGTGTACAAACAAGAGTTCGCATGTAGTTTTCTTGACATACTGTCTAACAACAAATACGAAATACACTGAGCAAAACAAAGGGGAAAAGAAAAAAAAAGGGAAGGAAAACGCCATTGTTCTCTCTATTCTCTACAAAGAATTGCTCTCTGTACTCTGCCTTGTATCTGCTTCTACTGCTAAAATCATGGCAGCAGAGGCATCAAGATCTGGTGGGTCAGCCGATTCCTACATCGGCAGCCTGATTAGCTTGACATCGAAGAGCGAAATCCGTTACGAAGGTGTTCTCTACAACATTAACACTGAAGAATCCAGCATCGGATTGAGAAACGGTACCCTTCTGATTTATGGGGTGTTTGCTTGTCTCTTTTTTTTCTGTAGCCACTATTGTGCGGTTTTGCGTTCTGGGGCTTTAATTTTATTGGTTCTGGGGTCTTCTTTCTTTCGTAATCTGAAGCGGGACCTTTTTTTTTTCCCGGGTTTGTTTACCACAAGATAGATTGAAGTTGCTTTTAGGGGATTTTGTTTATTTTTATCTTCTGTGTTGTTTTGGTTTTATTTCTGGAAATTCTTTATTTAGTGTGCTTTGAATAATTATCTCCTCTCTTGAATAAACATATGTAGATGAAGAGTAAAAAAGAAAATATTTTGAACCATTGTTTACTACTACTGCTGCTTTTTTGGTACTTGGTGGAGATTGCAGTCACTTTCTGAGCGTTTTTCAATGTGTGCTTCGCTAAGATGGAACGAAGACTTTTAGTAGCGCCTACATGTTTCTATCTATGTTCTACACACCCATACATGCTGAGGCTTTATACTAAAACCGATTCTATTTTGGGTATATTGAAGTTGGGTATAATATTCAAGAATGACATGTCATTGGATCAGGTTTGGACATGGAATATATTGATCTGAGTTGAAATTTTTGAATTCAGTTAAACCGTGATCCAATTAAAATTTGTTATTTTTGTAGAACAAGGGCATCCGGGGTTATCTTTTGTAATTCACAGGAGGCTAAATCCAATGCAAAGACTCTTACTTTGACCTGCTGAATTGGTTTGTACTTTTGAAGTAGCATGGTTATACAGTTAATGAGACCAATGTGTCTTAATTGTGACTTCCGAGCTGGACAATAATCTGAGATACAGTAATAAGAGCCACTGGGAAAGTTGTCAAACTAGAAGCTAAGAATGCTAGTAAGGAATTTTTTTAAAAGCCTTTTCTGTGGACTTCTCTATGAGGACCTTGCTAATGGTTCCACATCAGTTTAAGAGAAGCACATTTTATTGAATAGGCATTTTAGGTAAGCTTGTTGAAAGATTCCTTCTTATTTGTTATTTTTGGTAAGTAAAATATAGTTGTATTCATTAAACATAAAAATCCTGTATATCTATCCAGTTCTAGTATATGAGATCATTTGTGTAAAATTATGCCATACATCAAAAAAGATGGTCTGTGATTATATGCTACCATTAAAATCCATAACCTGGGAGCTGGAGCCCTCTAAAAACTGAAATAAAAAGGGACAAGAATAAAATATTTTTTGATGGTAATATTCTAGAAGATATTTTCTGTTGATAACTATACTGGTTTTGCTCCCTGAATGTTAGCCAACTTGTTGGAAAAGGGAAGCGGTTCCTAAGAATGTGGGCAACTTATTAATCTTCTGAAAGACCACTCAGGGATCAAGCTGGAAAATTGCCCCTGCTGGCACAACAGATGCCAAATGCACCTAAATAACGTGGACAGACTATTGAAAGTGCAGGAGCAAATGTGAGACTGTCTTTCTACTCCGTTCACACAAAGCACACTCATTTTGGAGGTAAAGATTTTAGAAGATAAGGTGACACCCACACTCCCCACCACACACACATGTACAAAAGAGATATATGGAAGGAAAAAGGTAAGCTGTCATATGAAGAAGATGGGCTCGCATTACCTGTGAGGCTGTGACTATGTCTGCAGATTTGCAGAACAATTCAGCGACCCCAGTGAAATGCGAACACACCAGTGTTTGCAATAAATTCAACGCATCACATCTGCGACCTTGGTCGTAGGTAATTTTTTCTCAAAGAAGATTGTCTTACGTTTGGGTGCAAATTCTCCCATTAAACCTATGCTTCCATGAGCTTTCCCTGCCTCTTTAAGAGCAAGGGCAAAAGATTCTGCAGAGACAGTACATCTTGGGTCTGCGTACCATACCCATTTTTCTTGATATTGATGGAATAATCTAGCTAAAGCTTGTAAGAAAGATCAATGAAGAATCAACCCCCAAGGCATCAACATTCCTTTTTAATCTTGGAACTCTAACCACATTGCTAAATGCTTGTTTATTGCAACTAGCCAACTAATAATCACTAATTAGTAAATAGTAATTATCCATTACAGTTGGAAAAGATTGGAATGGGAGAGCTGTATACCATGCCACACATCATGCAAAAACTATGCTTTAATCCAATCTCTTTTCTTACCTTGAAAATTAAGAGATTTTTTGTTGTCTTCTGACAATTTCTTATTCCTTTCCACACATTATCCATTAGACCAAACAATTTCTTGAGAACTGAATAAAAAAATGTTAGACCTGTGTTTCATTGCCATAGGTTTTACCAGGAAACAATGAACTTTATGTGTCTAGTTGTGTGGGACAGTTGAAGACCATGCCAAAACTTGGTGCCCAGATTGATACTTCTTTTAGCATATTGGTGTTTCATCAAGCTGAAGTCAACATAAAACTTTGGCAAATAGCTGTCATTAACACGATATCATGAAAAAGGATGCACCCAATAGGGAATCCACATTTTAATAATGAGAAAGGACATATCTACTCAAGGTTGGTTATGCAATTGTTATTTCCAAATACCATAGGGTCAAGGTTGGTTCTGGATCTGTCTATTTTCTCATTTGATAGGTTCTGGCTTCTGGGTATACTCAGTCCAGTCCGGGCCTGACTCATTGACAGCTGCTCTAAGTATTAGCTCATACTTTTTGATTTAACAAACTAGATATCTTCTTAATTATTATGGGGTTTGTGTTAAGCCATTCTTGAAATTAGTAGTTATGCCATTTTTGTGCCTAATTGGAAAGCCGTTAGGTTTAGGGGTTTCAATGGAACATGCAATTTTTGATAATGATAAGGCTAACTCCTAACAATCATACGGCTACTACAATTATGGAATCTAACATTAATAGGGAAAGTAAGCATATTAATATTGCCATTTTTGAGATGATTATATGTTTCTTGTATTTTTTGTTACTTGCTATGCCCATATGTTTTAAGAGGATAAAGTTCACATTGTTGCAGTGTTGCTCTTCTGTCAGTAGTTTTCTTCTTGTTTTTACTTTATTTTCACATGATGTTAAATATCTTACTACTAATTTGAAATTTGGTTCTGATTGGTCCCTTCTGTCTTGACAGTAAGGTCATTTGGAACTGAAGGACGAAAAAAGGATGGCCCACAAGTCCCTCCAAGTGATAAAGTTTATGAGTACATTTTATTCCGTGGAAGTGACATCAAGGTACAAGACACGTACATGCATGTTATGTTCCACATATGGAATTATGGATTGACTCATTGACTGGTATTGCATTTTTTTTTTGCGATTATAGAACCAATGTAATCTGTTTCAGAAGTGTCCAGTTATTATTTTTTTATTTATTTATTGAAATTTAATGACTGCAAAGAACTGAAACTCTCAGCAAGTATGCATCCGAACTCCACCGAACTCGATCAATATAGTAGATAGCCCCTAGCAACTACTATTGTTCCTAAATGGCTTGAAAAAGGGATATTTTGGAAGTAAAACATGACTATATCTGGGTTAAATTTGTTGTTTGTGTATTTCAGCATATAGTTCTTTCTGTTACTGGCAAACAATTTCATCGGAAGAGAAAACTGGTCAAGAGAAACATTTAATAGTCAAATGTGATTATGTCTAGGTTTATTGTCTTTGTTATTTTTTTAATCAATAACTGAATTTATTAAAGATTAGAAACAGATACAAGAAAGCATGGGGAGAGGTAAGCTCTCTTAACCCTCCCCAAGTAAGGGTTCAATTACAACATAGCCCAAAATAAACTTTCCCTTCCCACTCCTTTATTGTCTGTGTTCTTCGAAACATATCTTTTTCTATAATTACAAATGATACTTCAGTAAAGACTGTTGAATAGGAAGTCTTCGTATTGGGAATAGCTATCTCATTTGTTGGTATGTTCCATTTCCCATCACTGGTAATTTATGCATTTGCATCTTTTATTTTTAAATGGAAATATGGAGGAAACTGCAAATGAATTTTTTGTCCTTCCTTTGATCTCTATTAAGCTAAGAAACGTTTTGCATTAGTGTCCTAAAGTGGCTCCTTTGGGAATCTAGTCCCAGTTTGGTTTGAGATATTCTAAATTTCTAATATGCTAAGATAGAATGGAAGTCATGGCATTATGAATAGGCCTGAATAATTAAGTGGGGATCCCCATGAAAATTTCCATGGCTTGCTGTTATTATGATATTCTATGAATACTAGTACTCAAACCAAAGTCTCTTTAAATGGCAAACTTTTGATGGTTCACTTCTCATCTTCAGAGGCAGTGGTGTCGAATTGTTCCCCTATATGTCCTTAATCTAATTAATTTGTTCCAGGGGTGAATGGTTATGGAGATGCATTACAACCTTATCCTTTTTATCAACTTGAACCTGTATCTCCTGATGCCAGCTTATTTAGATATTTGATTTATCCCTTTTTATTCTTTTGTCAAGGTATGCATTGAGGAAAATCATATCTTGATCTAAACGCTGTTTCACTATCCCTGATGCTCAAACAAGTTGCACTTTCTTCTTACTGTCAGAATGTCTAAAATGTGTAACTCTTTTTTTTTTGTTTGATTGGAAACAGTAACTTTCATTAATTCTTTAAGAAACATAGTACAAACTGTCACCTTCAAAAACAAGGTGACCCCTCATCAAATTACAAACAGGCCTAAAAAAGGTTCTGCCTACTAACTCCTTGCTTTGCTAAAGTATCGGCCATTGCATTGACTGATCTCCTAGTCCATTTAAATCTGACTTCAAGCTCCCTTATTAGTTGCATAATCTCCCTTACAGGTTGTCTAAGGGGCTATGCACCTAAGCTGTTTGTTTGCATCCAACCTATTACCAGTTTCAAATCTCCCTCCACTTCTAACTGCTGAAAACCCAGCTGTTTAGCCAGCTTGAGCCCCTGTAGGAGTGCCAGAACTTCTGCTTTAAGAGAGTCCCCCAATCCTATCGGTCCAGAATAAAGGGCCAGGACTTTTCCTTCCCCATCTCCAAAGACACCCCCAATTCCAGAGGGGTCTGGGTTACCCAGAGAACTGCCATCAAAGTTTAGCTTAACAGCCTCAGATAACGGGGGCGACCAGTCCTCTTGGATAGCTAAAGAGGGGCAGGAAGAAACTGCTACTGTGTTCCACCCTCTAATTAAGTCGTCTACAGAGAAGTCCTTGAACAGGTCCAGTGATTTCAGCCAATGTATAACCTTGATGGTGATCCCTTCTATGACTTCATGTGCTGATTTTTCTTTTCCTTGAAAGATTCTGTTATTTCTCTCTTCCCACACTGCCCAAATAACTGCTGCCCTCATTGCTCTCCACATTACCCTTCCTCTTTTCTTTGACTGACGGAAAAAGCTAGAATTAAAAATGTGAAACTCTTGGACACTGCTATTCTTTTTCTGGCAGTCGGTTTCATCTCAAACCCTTGTTGGTAGTGCATGTATTCCATTAAAGGATTCTTAAAAAGAAACTGCAGTAGTAAGCAGGGTGCAATTATCTTCTTGACTATCCTTTGCTTAAACGAATTTCCTCGTCTTCTTCAATTAGGAATGCTAGCTTAACTTGCATAGCAAATAACTGCTGTTTTTTTCCTGTTTAACTACCATTTTTACTGATGGCATGTGATAAGGACTGAAAATTTCCATATGGTTGCAGGATTTACAAGTTAAATCTTCTCCACCTGTTCAGAGTACACAACCTATAAATGATCCTGCTATTATACAGGTTCAATAGAAGTAGATGATTTTTTTCCTCATGTGATGTTTCAGATGACTCAGATCATGTCGATATATTCATTAATTTTTTTTGGAATTTATTTTGCAGTCTCATTATCCTTATCCAGCATCTATTTCAACAAGCATGCCTTCTGCTGGTAGTGGGTCTGTGACGGATCTTAGTTCCCACACAACACAGGTCGGTCTTCCCAGGTCAACATTCCAAGGTGGTCTGCCTTTATATCAACCTGGAGGGAGTTTGGCATCATGGGGGTCTTCACCTGCTCCTCCAAGTGCAAATGGTAGTGGGTTAGCTATGCCTATGTATTGGCAAGGATTTTATGGACCTTCAAGTGGGCTTCCCCATATGCAACAGCAACCTTTGCTAAGACCTCCACCTGGCTTGTCAATGCTTCCTTCCCTGCAGCAACCAATGCCATATCCTGGATTAAACATTCCATTACCCACAGGAGCTTCAAATTTGCCTGAACTCCCTCCTCCTTTGCTTCCACCGGTTGGTTCTGGCTCTGTGAATTTAAACTCCACTACTTTGCCATCATCTCTGCCTCCTGCCCAGTCTGCTGCCATAGCTTCTGAAGCAGCATCAAGTCTGACGTCAAATAAAGCTCCTTCACCTGCTCTTCCTACATTAAATCTGAATGCTAGCTTGCCATTGGTTTCTCCTTTGACTACTTCTAGTTTGGATATAAATGCCATTGTACCACCGAACTCCAACAAGCCTAAGGCAGCTCCCGGCCCAACCTTGCCATATCAAACTATTTCTCAGTCTGTTTCCTCTGTTGTTGGGATATCCAGTTCAAGTCACTCTGAAACATCAACACCTTCTCTGGTAACCCCAGGTCAGCTGCTGCATCCTGGCCCAACTGCAATTTCTTCATCTCAGTCTTCACAAGTGACACAAAAAGATGTAGAGGTGGTTCAAGTATCATTATCAGAACCACCACCAACAACTCTGGCTGCAGCTTCAGCTCCAGTTCCAGCATCAGCATCAACACCAGTGCCAGCCCCAGTCCAGGCCCCAGCAGAAATTCAGGAACCAATATTGCCGCTACCTTCACCATCTGATCAAAAGGTGTTACTCTCATATCTGTCTTTTTTTTGGGGAAACTCCATTTGTTATCTAATGTGGAATCTTTTTTGGATCAGAAAATCTGTTTCAGATAATTATTCTTTAATATTTCTTGCAAGGTTCAAAATTTCACAACGTATCGGGCTGTATCAGCTGATACGTATCATTCCAACAAGAGCCTGATATGTGGAACGTGTAGAAATCATCTGTTCCGTTTCTTTTCGTATGAATCACACCAATACAGGCCCGTATTGGGCTGTTTCAGCTCTGTATCGGCTGTACGGGTCCGAAACAGTCTGATACAGCCTGGTACACTTGATTTTTTTTCGGGTGCCCTTCATTCATTAATCTCTTTAATTACTTCTATATTTAATTCTAACTTTCTTTCATTAATTAATCAATTACTCATACTTATAAATTTAAATTTGAATTTTAGCGCCTAATTTGAATTGTCTTATTAACTCCACTAATTAATGATCCTGTCTCATTAATTTTGTTTTGTTAGTATAAAAACTATAGACCTTAAACAATGGCAATATTCAAACCTTAGTCACTAGGTTTTAACAATAGTAAGTCACCACTAGGCCATGCCCATTTGTTTGTTATGGTCGTATGCATTATTATTTTTAAGTAAATTTTCTCTTTTCTTAATGGATATTTATTAATAAATGCGAGAATTAATTATTAAAATTTATATACTAATAAATATTAAGATAAATTGATGTACACACATAACATTTATATTGGTTATTTGAAAATTGATTTATGCACATTCATATTTTGTTTTATTTTTTGTTTTCTCACATTTTATTTATTCCATCATTTTTCAGTGGTTATTAATTGTAATTATTTACAATCGTTTAATTGAATTAAATGATTGTAAATATGGTTTTTTTACATCTTAAATGACTTATTTACAATCATTTAAAACTTGTAATTATTGTTAGTAATATATTTTTTAGGATATATTTGAATTTCCTAACATATTTATGCGTATCTTGATTTTTCGTCTGTATCTATGCATATCCAAAGCGTATCCCTATACGTTTCTTAAAATTGTTTTTCCGATACTTTGAACCTTGATTTCTTGTGCTTGCCAGGGTTAACTGAGGGATCTTTTAGTTTTCTTAAGAATGAATCTTTCATGCTCGTTTGACCATATTTGAACAAATTAAGTTATCTCTCTCTCTAAGAAGCATTGGCAAATTAACTGATCATTGGAATTTTATGCCTAATAGTTGAAAAGATAAGGAAGGAGCAAGTCATAAAGACTTGCGACAGGCTTCAAGGTGAAAGGAAAACCTGGTGTCTCTATCCTCATGTGTGTCTTCTTTTCTTGAGGAGTGGGGAAAATCCAACTCATCTTCTATTAAATTGCCTCTATGCAACTCAGGTGTGGAATTATTTTACTTCCTGCCTTGGTAGTGTGCGGGCAGCTCCGGCTAAAGTTATGGAATGTTTGACAACAGATTGTATTGTCACATAAACACGGAGGAAGATTCTATAAGAGTTGAAGTGAGTCTTAGTGCCTATGGGGGGAAAGAAATGCAAGGTTTTCTGAGGAAAAAAGGTATGCAGGTGGACACTTTCATTAAACTCAGTGATGAGGGGTAATGGTTTGCGATGAGTTCAAAGGAGTATCAGTGAATGGGTTATAAAGAGATTGGAATGGTATTGCTTCTTATCAAAGGAATAAATCACAATGAAGGGAGCAATGGGAAGCATTTCATGTATTTCTGTTTGGTAGAAGATGTGTCTTATCACTCCTTCAAGCCCATAAAATGAATTGGATATATGTGCTAACATATTTTTAATACATTTTAGATTTTAGATTCTTCTGCATTCTTTATCTTGCTATTAACCTTTTTTGTTTTGTAATGAGAAATAATTTCATGTATGAACTACTTCTGTATTTGAATCACTTGCATCATTCACATCCATGTTGTTGGAGGAAACTGTAATTGCTTCTGCAATAACCCAAAAAAAAATTGTTTCTGCAATTTCCATATTTCATCATATCTTAAAAAAATCTTTCGTGCTTATGAGAAATCTGAAATATGCCTTTATTTCTCTCATTGTAGCATAATGGTAACCCAAGAACTTGTCTCGCAAGTAGGGGGCGTGAAAGAGGAAGAGGAAATGGGGTAATGTGTTTCTCTTTTTTACCCTTCCACTTTATTGAGAAGTTCCAATCAAACTTGAATCTATGTTTTACATATCCATTGGATATCAAATCAAATTTCGATCCTTCAGCTGTGGTCTTTGGAGGACAATGGTGGTTTTGAAGCCTATAGTATGTACTTGTTGAGCGTTTAATAACATAACTACTTTTGGCCTCCACAGGTTTCACGTCCTGTGACAAAATTCACGGAGGACTTTGATTTCATGGCAATGAATGAAAAGTTTAAGAAAGATGAAGTATGGGGTCATCTTGGTAAAAGCAATAAGATGCAGTTGAGGGATAAAGAAGGTGAAGGAAAGGAGGATGATGAAGATGATTCTCAAGATGAGGATGAAGCTGGATCATCAAATTTCCAGATCAAGGTGACCATTTGTATCTTAGAAACTAAACAAGTACTATTAGTTAAAGGCAATGCTTTTGGTCTGCCCATTTCTGCCAGCTCATAGTCGCTTTGTCTCTACTTCTCTGCAGCCTGTTTATTGTAAGGATGACTTTTTTGATTCTCTTTCTTGCAATGCACTTGATCGAGGGGCACGAAATGGAAGGACCAAGTTCTCAGAGCAGATGAAAATAGATACCGAGGTAATGTGCAATTTTGTTTTATCGCCAGTCTTTAACCATTCCAAGTTTGGGTTTTTTTGTTCATTGGGTTCCTTGTTTGGTCTGCAGACTTTTGGTGCTTTTACAAGGCATCGTGGTGGCCGTGGTGGTCGTGGTGGTCGAGGCCGGGGTTCTTACCATGGAAGAGGTTATGGTTATGTTGGAAGGGGCCGGGGCCATGTTATCTCAAGTCGTGCCACCTAATCGTGGATTGTCATGCCACGCTGTATCACTGCAAAACTTTAGAATTTGATTTGTTTTGTCATCGCCCACGGGGGATCCTAGGTAGTGACCATTGAAGTAGATGACCAATGGAGGGTTATGTTTGTAATGTTGTTTCCCTGCTTATTGGACCAAGGAGTGATTTCCATAGGAAGGCGAGATAAGCATATACCTTAGGATACCGTTTATATGAACATGCTCTTAAAATTATGTTCTGCATTTTTTTTTTCTTTTTATGCTTGTCTTGAATCTTGTCTTCAATTAGGAACAATCCCTCTGGGGCTGATCGAATAAAGTTTGACTTACAAATTACAATAATAAATTAGCACGACATCAAATCATTTGATCAAGCTTATTGTATCATTATTCTCTAAAGTGCTGTACTTTTACTTCAGTACGTATAATACTTTGATGCTTTTACTTCAGTACAAAGTAAAATTGTATCCAAACATAACCTTAATTGTATTATTATTCTCCAAAGTGCTGTGCTTAAATCTTATTACAGGGTTGCCATGCTTCAGTTGTTTCTCTTTGTGCTTTTCCAAGTTTGAAAAGAATGAAATTATTCACCAGCAGAAGCGGACCAGTAGGACGTGCTCTACTACTTCCACCTTTAAATCAAGGTAGGGGTTTTATGGGAACAAGAGGGAAATTCTTGTGGGTTCCTATTCCACAGCCTTCTGTCATGTCTAGGGCTTCTTTTTTTCCACCATCAGCCAGGTCCCAATCGAACCTATGTAAAAGGTTGGCTAGAGCAATTTCTACCATAACCATGCCAAATTTGATCCCCGGGCATATCCTTCTTCCTGCTCCAAAAGGAATCAAACTGAAAATGGCGCCCCATGAAATTGATGAACTGTCGGTAAATCTCTCTGGCCAGAACAACTCTGGACTTGTCCACGATTTTGGGTCTCTTCCAATTGCCCATATCAAAATCCTTGTTCCTTTAGGAATGTGATAACCTTGCAGTTCAATGGCTGCTGTTGATTCATGAGGAAGCAGCAAATGGAAGAAGAGGATGGAGTCTCATGGTTTCTTTCTTTACAGAATGCAAGTACTCCATCTGTCGAAGGTCTTCCTCCACTCTCGGTTTCTCTCCCACTACTCTTTCTTCTTACTTCAAACTGTGCTCTCTTCATCACTGTTGGGTTCTTGATGAGCTCTGCCATTGCCCATTCCAAAGTTGTCCCCGTAGTGTCTGTTCCAGCATTAAAAACAGGGATTCTAGCACAAAGAGGTAACTTTTGACCTCTATTAGCAACAAAAGGTATCTCTTTTGTAAAATATCATAGACAAGGCATTTTTTGCAAGGTAATATCACAAAAGGGCAGTAAAACATGAGGTGCATCCGCTGTATGGAAAATGCCTTTGATGCATTTTTTATGACAAAACTGCCCCTCTTCTTCTTTTTTCGCAAAATGTATCGAAAACCCCATTGTTCTTCTTCCTAAAGAAATGAAAAATTATAAAAAATCTTAGTCCTCTCTCCAAAATTGAAGATAAACCCTATTATAGCCTTCATTCTTCGTATGAAACCCTGTTCATCTTTTTGTTGCTAATAAACTCCGGCAGCTGCAATCCAAGAGCTTCTTCCCAAGAAGCTCCTGACGGTGAATTTTTGGGCGTTAGCCTTGCTCATGACGTAAAAACTTGCCCGGTTTTTGTTGCTCGTGACATCAGCCTTGGCCACTCGAAGGCCAGTTGTGCTGCCGTAACAGCCAAGAAAGTATAGCATTACGCGACCGACGTCACTGCGCAGGGCGAGCTTGCTCGCCAGGTAGAGGTCTCTTCCTGGTAATCTGATTTCGCTGGAGGAGACATAGACGATGTGGGTGATGTATCCTACTGGTCTCCATTTCTTGATGCAGGCAAGGCTTGCTTCCAGCGCCATCTCCAGTACTGCTGGGTTTGCTATTTCGAGCCTTTGCTTGATCGTTGGTGAGCCCTCTGTTGTCAGTTCTGGGTACTTGTCTAAGATCTCCTTGGAGCAGAAGCCACCGCTTGAGAGATGGTCTTGTTATTACTAGACCCATCTGCGGCCACCACAACACCAGCTCGTAAAGCTGCATTGGGTGATTGAAAAAGCTTCCGATTTGCAACGAAAAAGCTTCCGATTTGCAACAGAGACCCATGTCGGGAAGCCATCAGAAAGCAACAGGCGATTACCACTTTCATCAATGAACAGAGCAAAGTATATTTCCTAATTTCCAACAGTCCAGAGTAGGATGTTTTTAACGGAGAGGGTAATTTTGTCTTGTATGATATAAATTCAATGTATATGTCATACCGTGAATATACGTCATATATCAGTGCCCCTATCTGATATTTTTATCAAAAAGAAGCCTTAAACTAGATCATACCTTTGAATGACATTAAGAGTGAAGAGTTACTTCTATTGGTTATAATCCCTTAAAAAAAAAGAAGATTCCTGATTAGTACCCTGTACTTTGGGGCTAGTGTCAATTTGGTCATAAATTTTAAAATGCAATAATTCAGTATCTGAACTTTTAAAACTTGTCAATCTAGTATCTAGTTAGCCAGCTGTCAACTAGCCATTAAATGCCTTTAAAAAAGACATAAATGTCCTTTGAGTGTTATCTAATTTTCTTTATCAACCAGTCAAACATTGACAAAAAATTAAGGTAAAATTTCCGATTAGTACCCTGTACTTTGGGCCTAGTGTCACTTTGATCATTGAATTTTAAAATGCGACAAACGCCTGTTTTTAGGAGTTTTGAACCCCCAATTTTTTTAAATAATAAAAAACATCTTATAAGCTTCCCAAAAAACCAAACTTCGAAAAAAAAACTAAAAAAATGTATGTATTGGTCGTTTCTAAGTACTAATATGATACGGCCGAAATGCGTATCGTGTCGATACTTTGAACCTTGGTTTCCTTGCCTCAGGCTTTGGAAAAAAATTTTTACTAGGGATCCATTTATGAGGATTTGAAATGAAACTAAAGTTTCACACTTCATGATCTTATCCAATCCACTTCTACCAAAACTCTATCATCCATGATCTCTATTCTATCATATGCATTTTCCATATCCAATTTAACATCCATGATCTCTTTATTTGCTTTTGATTTTTTTCATATGGAAAAAGATTTTATGACCAATTAAGATAAATATCACCTATGCATCTTCGTTATGTTGTGTTTGGTTTGAAGGGAACTTTCCCTACTTTTTCCTTCAAACCAAACAGCCTATAAAGGAGGGCACTATGGTTTGGTGAGGTGGTTTTGGCCAATTTAAATTTCAGTCTATTTGTTAGAATTTTGGTAATAATCTTGGACATTGTGTTGCATAAATTAATAGGCTAGAATTTATTAGGTTTATTAGGGTGGTTAACTTTGGGAATAAGGGATATGAATATGAGATTCATGTTCCTTGGGATCTTCTCTTCCACTAAAAAAGAGTTTCATCGATGCTTTAACATTTTCTCCACTATATTCTAATATTTTTGGAAGAACATATTTGGAAAACCATTCAGACTTAGGGCCTTCCTTGGCTCCATTTGAAATAGAGTAATAGAGCTACAATTATCTCATCCTCTAGCACCTCTGTTTCTAGGTCCCTAATATTAGGGTTTGCAATATTTGACACCATATATGAATATGACTCAAATGACACAAAGTTAGTGGTTTTGGTTTAATAATCGTGTTTGTGTCAAAATCGTGACTACCCATTTAATGTGATTAATAAACGTGTCAATTTCATGTTTCTAGGTCCCCATTATGATAGGTGATGATGACTTTGAAATTTTTTTAATGAATTTGTTTAGGTAATGAATAATTTGTGTTTATTTTACTATTTAAACCTATTTATTGTTTAATTTAAACATGTTAATCATATTGATTTTGTTCTAATTCAGGCGATACGTACGTATTATTCAATATAAAGTAAAACAAATTAATCATGTCAATTCAGATTTACACAGGTCATGTAATGTTCACTTATAATAAACAGCTCATGTTCATGTTAAAAATTTGACACAATTAAATAATTAACTTAGAATTCCATAAAAACAAAATAAAATAAAATAAAATATATAATTTCGTTAATCCTGATTTTTGCCATATCCAAATATTAGAGGCTTCTGTTTACCAAAGAAAATGTGCGAGGCTTCCAAGTTCCATCTGAGAGCTACATGCTCAATATGTACTCATTTTTTGTATATACATCACTTGGTGGGACCCATTAAATGGTGGATATTGATCATTTGTCTCATTTTAATGTAGGGTTGATAATAAATTTTGCAAATTTCATTTATACATTTTAAATGTTCGGTGCATACCCAATTGCTTGTTTTGAGCTTTGAACAGTCATATGATTCATATCTTCATTTGCCCAATGTTGAGATTCAATAAAGAAAGCTCTAAAATTCGTAGGGGACGAGTTGCCCGGATTTCCTGAGTTCAAATCTCCGCCCTACAAGGGGTTGCCCCACAAGGTCCTACAGTACATCCTGGCTGTGTATTAGAAACATCTCTGGATGATAATATCATTCCCGGGAATGTGATTTATGTCATCATCAGAAAATGTTTTCAATGCACCACAGGATGTGAGGTGGGACATTGTGGGGCGATTCCTTCTGGGGTGGAGATGTGAAAATATAGGTTTCATATAAATATACTGACGTGGCATGTTTATTTATCATCCCGCTCCTTTCCATGGAGGATTGAGGATTTGGCCATTTAGGTAGCTATAATTTTTTTATTTATTAAAAAAGGTTAATTACTTATATATACCATTTACAATTGAGAAACTATTTGTATATACTCTCAATTTTTAAAAACAAATTAAATGTGACTTGTTGACTGACCCCACACAATACAAATAGGACTTAGGAGATGTTTGGAACTGCATATATCTCGTATGGGATTTGGTCGCGCTTGGCTGGGTGTGGACAGGACTAGTCTTGTCCACACCCCAATATAGCGTGGACAGGTCCCGTCCACACCCAAATTTCTCATCCACGATAAAATCTTGTGGTTGGGGACCGTCCATACTTGATTTTTGATCCCCTACTTCACACTTTCCCTGAAAGGCTACTCTATTCTCTGTTTTACATTTTAATATTTTTGTTAATAAAATATTAATTATTTTACTTAATTTTTTTTAATTTTAATGTTTTATCAATAAAATTATATTTTAAATATTTAAAATATATTTTTTAAATTTTTAATTATTTTACTATTATTTTTATAAAAAAATAATATTTATTGGTTAATATTAATTCATTGATGCATTTTTCAATATGTTTATCATATAAAATGCAAAAATTAGATATTTATGATTAACTGTATAGATCAAGGTTTTTGAACCACCGTTGACTTGGACAGCCGGACCGTTCAGCCCGGGAACCATCCAAGCAAGCGGTTCCGTTCTATCCCAAACCCGATTTTTGGCCAAAAACTGTTGAAAAAGTCAACAACCCGTTGACACAGGCAATCAAACCGTCGACCCGTTCAATGGTGTTTTACCATTTTCTATTTTTAATTATTTTTTTAATTTGTTTGTCAGAATGCGCTGTCTGTTCGAATCAGACGGTCGGAGCATCGACCCGAAAACCGGTGATCATAACGGTTCCATTTTCGGGTCATTTTTTAAAATGTTGGTGTAGATCATTCAAAAATGTATATGAGATACATGGAATCAAAAACACCACTATGGATGTGGATTTGTCTAATCCACACAATTTAGCCACAGCTCAAAACAGTTGTGGACTATGGTGTGGTGTGAATTGGTTTCTGCCATAGGGTGTGGTGTGGACTAGTATACACCCACCAATTTCTCATCCACACTATAAAACACCCCCTTAGTAAATGAATCATTTAGGCTACACTTGAATGTGATGTAAATTTTACATCGGTTCGGTTTTGTATGTGTTTGGAAAGAGGGTGTAATTATTATCGACGTAAAACTACACTCCACTTTAGTTTTGCGTGCATTTGGATGGATTGTAGTTTTACGTCGATAAATCGATGTAAAACCTCATCAGCTCTAAAGTTTGGAAAGGGGGTGTAATTATTATCAACGTATACCAACAATCTGGTTCAGTTTTATGTGCATTTGGATGGAGTGTAGTTTTACGTCGATAGTCGATGTAAAACTTTACACTCTTCCACCTATCACTATTTTCAAAAAAGCAACGATTATTTTCCAGTTTATTATAAAATGTCATCAATGTATTTTTACACTGATGATATTTTACACTAACTTCAAATGCAACCTTAGGACCATTAACAACTCACTTCAAATGCTTTTATAATACCAATTTTGCCCATATCCAAAATCTTGAAATTTCCAACTGAAATCCTTATTTAATTAAATAAGAAGATAAACCTAGTTTTAAGTACGAGAACATGAGAAGCAATGGGTGGATAGCCATATGTTTTGTCACCAAACTCTTGAAACCTTTTCAATCTTTTCTCATTTTCATATCTTCCAATTTTTTTGTCTGCCAGAGTCCAACCTGGCTTCCTTGATTCTCGTTCCCAAGTTAAATCCCTTATCTCAGTGGAGATGCCAAAAATATTACGATTGTTTTGAAATTTTAGGGTTTTTGGAGGAGACACTTTGAATATTGAAATTTTAGGCTTTTCAGAGGGGAATGGGATCTGCTCCTCACACGGGGGCGCCTCATATGCACATCCACCGTGCATTGGGAACATCTTCCGTGAATAATAATTTATAAGTACAAGAGATGTTTCCAATGCATGGTATGATATGCGTGTGAGGTGCCCTGTGTGAGGAGCAGATCCGGTCTCTTTTCGAGGAGACATTAATTTGGGGGGTTTGAGTTATGAGATTTCTTTTTGGGGATTTTTCGCACACATGTGTCTTTGTCCAATGCACATGTCACCATAATACAAATTGGGTATAAAATATTGTGCTTCAAACATTTGGGGATTCTTTAAGACACGTGTTTCTCTCTAATCAAATTCAGGTCGAGTACATTTGGGGGTGTTCTTTTTTGGATTTTGGGAGGGAAAAGTTGGTCAATGGGATTTTGGTTCCCATTGACCAAGAATCCCATGTTTATTTTTCAGATTTATGTGAGGATCAGGGACAGTTTATTTTCTTGGGTATTACTTACCTACCCATCTCCTAAGTGGGTACATAACTTTGCCACCTAGGAGGAAAGTTGCTCACAGTTAAATAGAACAAAAATGTCACTTTTAATAATGGATTTTTATGGCTAAAATGGTAATTACCTTATTTACCTAAGAAATAAAAGAACATGGGTAAATACACTTACATGAGTAAGTATTTCCCAAAAAAAACTTACCCAAATAATTGCATTTACCCGAGTAAATAACTTACTAAAAAGCAAACGGGTCTTTAGGTTTTACACAGGATAATTTTAATCTTATGAATTCCGGTCTATGCATTTGGGGATTTTTCAAAAACACATATCGCCAGCGGCCAAACTATGTATATATTATAGTGGTGTGGTGCTTGCAACATGGAAGAAAGAACGGAAAGAGAAAAATAAAGAAAATTGCATGTTTTGGAGATTTATTGAACAGCTAAAGTCATTTTTGTCTTTTATATTTTATTTACTAGATATACATTTTATATAGATATATGTATATTATATAAATAATTTCCCAAATATACAAGATATATTTCCCAAATATACAAGATATATTTCCCAAATATACAAGATATACAAACCGTCAAGCATGGAAATTGAGGTAATTTGCATAAGATTGTCACAGGTCGGGTCCATGTAGAACTGGAACCGACCTGACAAGAAATATTAAGGATAACTCAGGCCGGGTCTGATCCAGTTCAATAAATTGGGACAAAATATCATGATCGGAATCAAAACAATCGTTTGGTCCATCGGGTCGGACCCGATCCATTGATAGCCCTCAATTTGCATTATTCGTGGCGTCAGCCGATCCATTCACAGCATAGATAGTGTTGATTTTTGCTACGGAAAGTAGGTGAGGTGATATTGGAGTTCACATCAGCGCCCCCACAATGCCCAGGACATCCCGACCTTATATTGGGAATATAAGATGTTCCCAGTACAAGGTCGACATGTGCTAAAGGCACTGTGGAGTGCTGATGTGAATTCGCGATGTCTAGCATCATTTGTGGCGTCAACCTGACTCGTCGAACCATGCATAAAGCGTTTGCTAGCCTGTGCTGTCCACACGATTTTTCTGGTTGCTTTTTAGCCACGTGTCACACGGATAGGGTGAGCTGTTGGGTTGCGGACGTTAGATCTCCTTGTGGGACCCACGTATTATTGAGATGACGTGGCGCCTACAGACGACTTGGAACACGAGATGATTGGGCGGATGGGTCGCTTTCTTTCTTCCTTTCTTGTTGGATGGCTTATAAATAACGCAGTATGCAGGTGAGGTAGTAGATATACAACTATACAGGTCCAAAAAGACGCGGGTACGATTCCCGCAACACCAACCTTTGGTTCTCTCTCTTGTTGTGTGGATTGGATTCTTGGTGAAGAAAGATGTCAGGTCCTCAGTGCTGTGACAATCCACCCACCCTTTGCTCAAGCTGCGGGGAAGGGTCCGTTCTGGAACTAGGAGGCCTCAAGGCTTACGTTGCTGGCTCCCAAGATTCTAAACGTGGAATCCTTCTCGTTTCTGACATATTTGGTGACTACCCTCTTTATCTTTAATTTGTATTTACTCTTATAGTGCTGTTACATTCCAATTGTTCATGGATTCACGCTTGAGGTGTTTTTCCAATAAGTGGGGCTCCTGCTTGCTTTTCGTCTTTTTTCCTTTTTTTTTTCTATTTTTGTTTGCTTTAATGTTTGGTAGAGAGTTTAATTTGGCTGAGTTTTGAAGATATTATGCATTGCACTCTTCACATCGTTGATGAAGTTTGGAAATGAAATTCCCAAGGTTGTATTTGTTTCAACCTAAAATGGATGAAAATTATATATGCTGTAACTTTTGAGTATTTTCGCCTCTTTTATGGTTAAAACCTTATGTTCTTGTCGTTTACATCAAAACAAGTTAAAAGGGGTGGAAGGCAAAGTTTTCCCTGCAAAAGAGGTGAAACCAATAGCTGAAAATATTTCATCTGAAAATTTTTCATCCCAGGGATAAACGAATGCAGCTCGAATAAATTCTTCTTCTTTTTTTTCTTTATTTTATTGGTAATGTGATGACAGAATGGGCAGGGAGAGGTTTTAAACAAACTGGCATTCATTGATCAACCTTGTCTTTATTAGTTATCATCACCACCATTATGCTCGCCTTTAGTTATCATATTCCTTTCCATCAATCTTTTTTTTTCGGGAAAAAAGTAAAATATTCATTGTAAAAGATTGTAAATGAGAGGATGCATCAGGGTTCCATCCTTAAAAGGTAGAGCTCAAGCTATGGCTGTACAGAATGATCCTTTCTGGACCCTTCCCCTCCTAGCTAAGCTATCAACCACTAAATGTAAGTGAGAGATAAAGGAGTTCATATTATCTCAAATCTCATTAAGTGCCAATTCTCTATGGACTTGAACTAGCTTTTCATTTTTATCTGATTACATTCAGCGAGTCTATATGAACTAAGGTTATGTTTGGCTTGACAGGAAATAAGAGAGAATCAGAAAGTTAAGGGAAAGGTCTTAAGGAAGTCTCGTGGTCTTAGATTCTTAGTGATTCTTGACCAGATTAGCAGAGCCACGACCTTGGACCCAGTTAAGGACTGTAGGCTGAGTATACAATTAGGTCACTGAAATACCAGAAGGATCCTTCTGGGTCGGACCGGACTGCTTGAAGAGCTTCTGTTGAGGAGAGGAACCAGGCCATTGAGTAGGGATGAGGGAACGATTGAAGGAGGGCTGTGAGGGGAAGATTGGAGAATTTCCACTAGATTCCCTTGGATGGAGCAGAGTGAGATACCTTTAAATTACTTGGTTGCTAACATCCAAGAACTGAACATGAAAGGAGTCTAACTTGGAAGCACTTAGAAAGGTGCTGCTTTACCTTTAAAAAGTCCCAATTGTTTCTTTCCCTCCAAACGAAACTCATCAGTTGATAGAATGCATTAAAGCCTTTGGTTAGAGCTTTCCTCAGATCTAAGGTCTACTCATCTCCATTAAACAAGTATATCCATTTTTCATGCTGCCAAGGGCCACCCATTCAAAAAAAAAAATCAGGCCAAACAAAAAAGACCAAAGACTCGATATTATTTTACCATGCAGCAACATGACTCCTTGTCTTTCAAACATGATAATGCATGCTTGGAAGAAATGAGAAAAGCTGCAGGTTGGTTTATTCTTTTTTAGCAATAGGCCATATGTGTTGTTCTTGCCATTTGCTGCTTCACCAAACAAGAATAATTTAAGGGGACATAAGGAAGCAAAATCCTTAAAGCCCAAAACACTTCAGTAGTTGGTTTTGAAATAAGGACTTTTAGAACAGGTCCACAGCACTTCTTTTTCACATTCCAACCCTAACAATTAAACGTGAGAAACTGATATTCAATTTAAACTTGTTGTGAAGAAAACAAAAAATAGCAAAGAAAATACAAGAAGAACCAGAGAATACACAGATTTACGTGGTTCAGTGTATTGATCTTATGTCCACAGGATCCTTGCAGAATTTTCACTATTTCTTTGTCAACAGTTACAACCTAGCAAGAATGCTAGTGTTATATCATTGAACAAAGGTTTCTTTTCAGTACCCTAATCTGGTTACAGTTGAAATCAAAGTGTTCCCAAAGTCCCCTGTAGGACATTACATGGACAAATTTCGCAGTGTCTAGGGCAGGGGCTCCAAGAGACACCCCCTGCTGGTGTTGTTTCCTCTTCCTTCCTAATACATAGAAAGTTTCATCAGAATTTTAAAGTGAGTAGATAGAATTCCATATTTGATTGTAGATACACTTAGAATCCAAAAAATGATTTAGTCGTAAAATTATCAGCAGTATCATGGTACTGGATTGTAGAGTAGGGGGAGAGAGGAAAATGTAGAGGAGAAGAGGTTTTCTTGATCTCAGCGTTCCAAGGTAGGCATTGGAGGTGTAGGTTCCAAGATTGGCCACTGTCATCCATAGACCAATAACCAGAAATAATGGCATCCTTCCAGAAATGAACCTGGAAAATATGAGGAAAAGAACTCGTAGATTGCTTGCCCCACCAAACTTCAGTTCAGAATTTTCTTCTAAAGGCCTTTACCAACCTTAATCAAAATAATGGGTAAGCTGTGGTTGTTGTCATGCTTATTCTTTAGCAGAACCTCATGTTTTTAGATGTTTCCATGAACTGGTTGCAGTTATATTCTATTCCCATGCTTAGTTTATAAGCCTCTATTTGGGGATTATGCCATCAATGATAGGATATATATATATTGGTAAGTGACAATGATAGGATATTAGCTATGGTATTTTGGTTTTATATGTCCTAATGATCATTATTGATTTTTTTTTTTTTTTGGTTTAAGATTGTATTTCTTCTCCATAGTAAAAAGTGATTTTAGATTGAATTGGAAATTAGCTATAAAAGGGTGCTTTAGGTGTCATAAAAATGAGTACTTGTACTGTTTGTGACTTGTCTTTCTCTTGGTTATTATCGTTAGTCTTACACGGATGTTACCACCTTTTCAGGATATGAAGCACCAAACTTGAGGTATGTGAAATTTTTTTTCTGCTATTAGAACTTAGTGATGTTTTTCCTATTAATTCCAAGGCATTAAAAGCTGAATTTTACCTTGCATCCATCTTCTTGTGCAGCATTAAAATATTAAATTGTTGTTAGTCAATTTGCTCCATGGTAAGAATGGTAGCTTCCTGGGTTATGCTATTGAAACATATTGGTACAGTTAAGATTTAAGAGGGAAAGTAAAAGGGGTTTGCTTCAGTATTTTATTATCAGAACCTTTTGGTACAAATTTATATACCAAGTTTTCAAAGTGTTGGATATAAGGAGACAATCATTGAGAATATATATATATATATATATATATATATATTTGGTAGCTTGCTTTGACTGTCATAATTGTTCTTTTCACGTGCAATTCAACAAGGCCCCTTTTAACCACCATTATATTGGTTTCAGTTGTGAACTGTGCTAGTACAAGTTCTACAAGCGATGGTGATTAAGTTCCAATCTGACATCAGAGAAGCATCTTTCTTCTGAGGGCTCATGATTGAGTCAAATCATTTCCATTTTATATGGTAGTGTCTGTGCTGTTTCAAATTGCAATCTATAATTAAATTACCCTTTTCTATTGCCTAAATTCCACTAGTAGTGGTGATTAGGTTCCATTCTGACAGTAGAGAAGCATCTCCTCTTCTGACTTCTGAGGGTTCATAGTTGAGTCAAAGTCTTTCCATTTTATTGTTAGCTATTTTCTTGCCTAAGTTGTTTCTTTAGCACCAGTAGATGGCAGTGGTTGTTCTGTTTCAAATTTCTATCTATAATTACTGAACAGGATAGAATAGCAGAACAGGATTCATGTAGTTGACCCCATATAGTTGGGACAAGGCTTAGATGATAGTGATGAATATAAGTTCTCTATCTGTAGTTTTATATGACAAAATATACTAAAATAGAAGAAGAAGAGGAAAAAAGAAAGAATATAAAATGGATTAAAGATTTATTAGCAGCAAAGGATGTATAGAAATCCATATTTACACAATGAATTGATTTAGCCAACAACAAAAGGATAAGAATTCATCCATTCAATGTTTTGACATGACAAAGCAGGCAAAAGAAGAGCCAGAGATTAGAAAAAGGGGTTTGATGGTTGTCCTGTTTATAAAATATGTCAAGTTAAATATACCGATAGAGAGGTTATTCAGCAACATTCCTTCCCCCACACCAGACATAAAGGTACCATAAAGTATTTTTTTTTATTGTAAAAAAAATTAATGGTACCTTTGGTAATAAAGAAAATACTTTCAATGGATGCACTTTAGGATATTGTTCTATATTCAATTGGCATCTGGAATTTTGTAAGGGTTAGATCTTATCGCTTTTACAGGGCTTAAGGTTGTCTCACATATTATTGCTACTCTCTGTAGGTGTAAGGTATTTTTCAAATGGTTAAAAGATAGATAACTAAGGATAGAAAGGGCCTATGGTTGCTTCAAGAGTTTATTAGGAAAGACAGATTGGTAGCATCATGGATGAACATCTTGTTCAAATAGGTCTACAGATCACTCAAATCAATTTCTGAGATTTATTAGGGGTTTGACCTTTGTGCGGCTAATTGTAGGGTTTTTTCTTTTTTTTGTTTGTAGAAGTGAAAATGGATGACTGTACATGGGGTGAAACTTCCCTAAGAGAACTTTAAGAAATGTAATTACAATAAGAGGGAATTGGTTGAGATATTGTGTGCCTTTGCCCAAGAGAATTTTTGCTAAGATGCTCTGTAGTCTGTAGTATTTCATCAGTGTGAGAGGATTTGCCTTCAAAAATTCTGCTGTTCTTCTCCATCCAAATTGTCCAAAATGCTGCTGCAGGTATCATATTCCAAATAATTCTTCCATTAGCCGAGAGGCCCTTCAACTCTCCAGCTGTGTAGGAAGTTCAAGACTGTATTAGGAAAGACCCAACATAGGTGCAGGTTAGCCAAAAGATGGTTCCAAATGATTTTTCTGAGTGGGAAGTGCAGAGAAAGGTGGTCTACAGTCTCCTGAGAAGCATTTCAAAGAGGACAGTTGGGGGAGTTCATGGGAATACCTTGCTTACTTAGCTTATCTTTGGTGAGGCATTTGCCATGGGATACAGTCCAAACGCCAAACTAGGAATGCAACTTTTGAAGGCACTTTCTGTGCCCAAACAACCTTATGAGGGAAGGTGTGTCTATTCAAACTGAGGTGCTGCATCATGGATTTAGCTGAGTAGGTTCCCTTCTTATCCCCTTTCCAAATTCTGCTGTCCTCTTCTGTGTTGATAGGCTGAAATTGCTTCAGATGGAGGAGCACATCTTATAGATTTTCAATCTCCCAGTCAAACAGGTTTCTTCTGAAAACTGTTGCCTCTTTGTTTGTGGCTGCATTAAAGAGGCTAGGGTAGATTTCATCAAGGGCCTATCTCCACACCACAAGTACAACCAAAATCTTAGATGTCAGCCATTGCCCAGCTTTCTGACAATGCCTTCTAGGAATTCAATCTCCAATGCCCCTTATTAAGAAGCACTGTGTTCAAGTTCATTACCCAATAGATGCCAAGCCACCCATTTTCTTGGTGGAGCAGATTTTTGCCCAATCAACAAGTTGGATTTTCTTATCATATTTCCACCCTTTCCAGAGGAAATCTGTTTGGATCTTTTCCAGACTACTTCCACATTTAATCTACAAATATGCCGGTTCAACTCTTTGTATTCTTCATTAATTTTTTTTTTTTTATGGGCAACAATTTATTAATCAGGAAATAAAAGCTTTATAAAGCTGGCATCCCAGAGTAGTGGTGTTTTTTGCACTCTTCATTACCAATTTCAATAATATCTCACCAATAAAAAATTGGATTTAAGGGGTTGAGTTTTACGTTGCTTTCAGATTGTTGGTGGTTTTAACCTATCTTTTATTTTATTTTCATCTCTTTCATTGTTTTCCATAGTTCGCCTTCAAATCACGTAAATGATGTTAATTTTGAACTTGTAAAAATTATGAATGCAGATTGATAATTTACTGAACATTGTATAAAATCTTGACTTTATGAACTTTATGGTGTATTTAGTCAAGGTTCATGGTGAAGACTTGTTCCATTATTCAAAGTTTCGTAAACAACACATACAGCGTTATGTATATGAAAGCTAGTATTCTAAGTAGAGATATGTTCTAAACCATGGGGGAAATCAACAGCAGTAAAGCGATATGGTTGTCTACTTACACTTCTGTTTTCAGAGTGCTTCTGAATTCCTGATCCTGTTCTTCTAAGTAAATAAGGTTTGTGACAGAAAAAGTGAAAGGATAGATATGAGAACAAGATCCCAAAGTACCTAAGATGATGCTCTCCCCAAACATATTTCTATGACAACTCAACTAGTAACCTTGAGATCTTTGGTATTTTCGGTGGTGCCACAAATTTAGACATAACATGATAATAGAAATGTTTTCCTAGTAGATAGCGTATACTGATTCTTGTCTTCCTGCTCATGCTTTGAGAAAGATGGAACTCATGCTTTTTCATTGATAAATTTTATAATGCTGGAGGAGTCAAATGTATTGGTGTTACTTTATCATTGCACTTGATTTTTATCTTTTTAATTCTATTATCATCCAATATGTTCTTCCTCTAGTAAACTTTGTTAATTGTTATGGGAAAAAAAGAATGGAGATTGAGTTGCTGGTACCATCATTAGATTTAATGTTCTGTTAGAAAGATCTTGTAGTTGGGAAGCTTGTATTGGATTATTGGTTCTAAACTGAAGGCACTGGGGACACCATTTATATAGACCTCAAAGCTTAATGTTGATGTGAATTTGTTACTTATTTAACCAATGTTCATTCCGTGAGCATGAAGCATTTTTATTGCCTGGCATGTGAAAAAAATGTGTTGGGAAACTAATGTGAACAGCATTCAACTGTGAAGGAAGCTTGCAGATAAAATCGCAGCTGCTGGGTTCTATGTGGTAGTTCCTGACTTCCTTTATGGAGATCCCTATGTACCTGATAATGCTGAAAGGCCTTTACCAGTCTGGATAAAATCTCATGGACCGGTTAGCTTCTTGACCATCTTGGATATTGATATAAACTTGAAATTTGTTGCTTAATTTAATTTTTGGAAAGCAGAAATCATTTTCTTATAATTATTATCATTTCCTTTGGATTGTATACTTGTATTCTGATAATAAATGTAATATTATTGTAAGAGAAGCTATACTGATGCATCTGGCTAAATAAAATCCATTCGAAAGAAATCATGTAATATTCTTGTCCAACTTGTGCTTTACCTCTTGGTGAGCCACGTTGTGTAATCCATTGCACTTGGGCCAATTTATTTTTCTGTTGTATTTAATAAAACTATATGCTCAATTTTTTTGTAACCATCTAAGTTGTATTTCTAGAGTTGATGGACATTTCTAATTTATGGTATGCTGATCTTTTCATGACTGTGGACTTTTTCGTAGTCATTGTCCCTAGACCTAACAGATCTATTTCTTTTGGTTGTATGTGAATGGTGGTGCTACCTTGCATAATGTACAACAAACTATATCATAATTGTCTCTTTTATTTGCTTCCAAGTACCACTTTTCATGTCATTTCATGTTTTAGTTTACTAGTTTTGCATGGCTGTTGTATTACCATTTAAATGGTGTTTGTCAAGGTCTTTAACTACAGAAGCATGCTAATAAGTTACCAACACTATTGTATGTTTCCTATAGGACAAAGCATTTGAAGATGCAAAACCTGTTATTGATGCTCTAAAAGTTAAAGGCATAACTGCAATTGGAGCTGCAGGATTTTGCTGGGGTGGTAAGATATCTTTTCGGCTTTTCAGCTTTTGGTTAGTGATATTTGGAACATTTTTTGTTGCACATGCATGTGCATGTATATTGGTAGGTGGGGGAGATTGGCCTACTAATTTACTCATACTGTCTCTCATTAGTTGTCCACTTTTTAAATTCTTCTCAGCGAAAGTGGTTGTGCAACTAGCAAGGTTTGATCAGATTCAAGCTGCAGTGCTTTTACATGCTTCATTTGTCACGGTTGATGATATCAAGGGTATGAATTTTCTTAGCCAAAGACTTTTAGATTATATGTTGCTTATTACATATTATTTCATCTAATTTCTGCCTTTTGGTTGCATCCCATGGTTTTAGAAAGATCCACTAATTAATCTTTATTGGTTTACTGATGAAGAAAATAAATTATTATTCATTTAGATCTAATTAATAGTATGATTTTCTTGTTTTCCTTTTCAGAGGTTAAGGTTCCCATTGCTGTGCTTGGAGCTGAGATTGATAAGATGTCTCCACCGGAACTCTTGAAACAGTTTGAGGAGGTTTTATCTTCTAAATCTGAGGTGAGGGATTTCCAGAGCTGTACAATTAAGAAGTTATCAATGTCTATTCTTCTACATTAATTCTTGGAATTTGTGTAACCCAATGGAAAGATGACCCAGAAATTAAAAGAAATTTATCCAAGAAAGGTGAAAAAAAGAAATGCAGTTATATCAGTTGTTCCTTAGGTTTAGTTTGGGAAGAGTGCAAATACAAATATGTGCAGTGCAAATACAAGGATTCGAAATACCATATATAAGGTTTTGCACTGTACATATTAGTATTTGTATTTTTCCCAAACTAAGCCTTAAGTAGATTCTATTCTTTGATCGTTTCTCATAGATGTGGTGGAAAAGTATCTGGATGCACAATTCTTCTTGGGTACTTGACAAGGCTTTGCTGATGAACTTGCAAATGTTGGTCCATGATTCTTTGTACAACCCCACTTGTGACAAAGGATCCTTTTCTCATGCTACTTTCTTACCACTTTAGAGGTAAATATTGGTTGGCATTCTCTTTGTGTCCTCCATTCAACATATTAGTTTAATAAATCTGAAAGACCATCACATCACAAAATTCCACATTCAAACTAGTATCCAAAGTGGGGCTCGAAATAGGTTTTGAAGAGTAATGAAATCTAGACAAAAAAAAGTGGTCCATGTGCACAGACAATCTAGAATTAACTGAATCGTTCTCTCGCATGGACGTGTACATGGACATTGACATAAATGCTTTTGTTTTCTGAAGGCCATAAGTAAATTAGGGTTTAATTATCCTATCTACTGTATGTTCTTCAAGGACCCCAGTTTCATGTTTTTGAATTTCTGCCCCAGAAAAGAACTGAGGCATGCTGTTTTCAATTACTAACAAAGGTTGGTGGTTTTCCTCAGGTTGATGGTTTTGTGAAGATTTTTCCTGGGGTTGCACATGGATGGACAGTTAGGTACAGTGCTGAAGACAAGGCAGTCGTGAAGTCTGCTGAGGAGGCTCATCGGGACATGCTGGAGTGGTTTACCAAATATTGTTGAGAAAGAAGATGCTGGACCATATTGTGGAAACACATTAGACCATTTAAAATTGCTTTACGGTATTGTTAAGAAGGGGAAAACAAAAGATACTCACTGTGTTTGGTGTCCAATGTTATAGTTGATTAGCTTATTTGTTTTGTTTTTTTTTTTAATCATTGAAAGCCAAATTGATAGATGGGATGGGACCACCCCTCTGACGGCTCCATATTACCGGAACCAACATTGGGTAGCCAAACTGCTCTTAGTTCCAGTTTGGGTAGCCAAACTGCTCTTGGTTCCAGTTTGGGTAGCCAAACTGCTCTTAGTTGAAGGTTTTCCTACATTTTCCTTCCTTTCCCTATATTTTCCTTCAAACCTAACATAGCCTTAAGGTTCGACTTTCCTGCATCATAGTTTTTCCCTAAATCTTGTTATTTATTTTTCCTTGTAAATATGAGAAAAAGGTAATTAACATCAATATCCTTTAATGATTTCTAAGAAGAAAGCCAGACAAGGAATCACCAATTAATACCTTGAAGAACTAGGTAAAAAAATGGCTAAATTGTTGAAACTTTCTCCTCTGAAGTTTTGAACTGTTGCTGAAACTTCTCATAAAGTTTGTTAATTGCAATTATCTCTCTTGAACTTTCTGACACAATTGCAAGTAAATGCCCTTCATTAAAATTCTTTGATAAGAGGCATGAAAATGTCCAAAATACCCATACAATTACTATTGACGTTAGTTTCTATAAAAAACAATACAAACTTTATGGAAAATAAAAAAAAGTTTAAAGTTACAATTTTATCTGAGTGATTGATATGAAGGGAAATTTTGGAAAATAAAGTCAACATTGGAAAAGAGAATGGATGGATTGAGGGGGGTAGCAAACTAGCAATTGATATGAAGAGAAAAATTAGAAAATAAATATGTTCAAACTTCAAAGGTAACTGCATGGTATTTTGGTCATTTTCATGCCTCTTTTTAGAGAATTCTAAGAGAAGGGGGTTTACTTGCAACTGTGCCAGAAAGTTTAGGGGAGGTTTCAACAACTTGCCCAAAAAAAGTGATAATTTGCTTAACCAATCCCACATAATAAATATAATACTATCTTAATTTGAAGTCAGACATTTTACTTGTGTTTGTTTCAACAGAAGTATTTTAAATTTTAAATATACTTCTACAATTTTTATGATGCAAATTTTGTTTTGCTTGCCATTTGCATCAAAAGAAATGAGAAAGGATGCAAATATTCAATCCAAAAAAGTTTTAAACCCATTTTAACAAATGCAGCCAATATTAGTCTACTCCGATATGTAAATATTTCTGGTTTTTTTGGATTCTCAACCAGATGTTTATTGGATTAGGGTAACTTAAATTTAGGCTATGTTTGTGTGAAGGAAAAAGTAGGGAAAGGAAGAGAAATGTAGGGGAACCTTCACAAATCTTGTATAGGTTTCCTTACCTTTCCTTTTCTTTCCCTACCTTTTCCTTCAAACCAAACATAGCCTTAAGGTTAATTAGTGTGCCTTGGGATTGGAAACTTTAAAAATTGACCTTAACCCAATAATACAGTTTTTTTTTTCTCATCTCTACAATCTACTTGTCAAAACATACAATTTGGGGTATCTTCACCAATGGTCCAATATGGTTGATTCGCTAGTCATGGTTTTTAACTTTTTAATGTTGAAGTCACAAAAAAGGGTCCAAATATATCTAGTTTTCATTTTTTAAAATTTACTGTTTTGGGTTGCAAAAAAGATTGGCAAAAAGAAAAGAAATCTAAGAAAGTGACTTTTCTTAGTTAAACCAAAAGAGAAGACATAGTTAACACAAGATAGAAAAGTATGTTTTCTTTTTGACCAACTTTGTTTTCTTTTAGAAAAAGAAGAGAAACTAGAGGTAAAGAATGCGGACTGGAATGTGATAGAAAGCCAAAGTAGCCCTACTTTCTTATAAAAAAAGGGGTTCCACAAATATAAGGAATGTTTTTGGGAAAACAGTTGACACTAAGGTTGTAATTTGTAATGAAAATGAGAAAATAAATAAAGTAGAAACATAAAGATAAAATAAAAACTTTGATTAATTAAACCCCATGAATTTTGATGAAAATCCACATCATTTGTTATAATTTTTATGATGTTGGTTGATTGGATATAAATTTTTACGGTATAATGTCTTTCAGGCATCATAGTCGAACGACTCGAACCCTTTCTAAAGTATTCATTGAACTTGTTAATGTTGGATGTGATACAGCAATGATCAACACAACTCATTAAGCACCGTGTCATTGGCCTCACTCGTAGATAAGGTGGGCCTGCTCCATCTTAGAAGTTAACGTCTTTGTCTGCTACTGGGTAGCTGGAGTAAGGCCCATTTACGCCCCTCCATGTTGTATTGTTTTCATGGTTTCTACCTCAATGTCAACGTACAATTAGCCCAGTAATTTGTAGTATCGTATCTAGTTGTGTGTGATTTTCTGATGGTTACATGCAAAAGAAAGGTGAATGAATGATTTTCTCGATAAATGACATTCAATAGGAAAAGAAAAGGAAAATCAGATTCCCAATTTTGAGGGTGTTTCACTTGAATTGGAAAACAAGCCTCAATAATTGAAAAATGCGAGGATTGCAAGATGTAAACTGAGAGGACCAATCTCTCTGTTTGGAAAATGACTTAAGGAAACTTGGAAGGAATGTCGTTTTCTCATAATTAGTACTTCTTTCTTTTTGGAAAATATATGTTTTTAAAATTCATTTTGTGTGTAGTTTCTGGGGTTAAAAATTAAAATGATCCTCACCCAACACAAGTAGGGATGGTAATTTTCCTCATTTTCCCGATCCCCGTAGGGATCCGCCCCGAATGAGGCGGGGATGGGGATGGGGAAATTTTCATCCCCGTTAATAGGGACGGGGAGAGCACTCCCCGCCACGCGGGGACCCCAATCTCCGCCTGTAGGATTCCCACTAACATATATGTATATATGTATGTATACATTATGTATGTACACATATGCCTATATATTAATGTTTTAAAAATATAGTTGAATATGTTTGAATCTTTTTTAATAGATTGTAAATTTTAATTATTTTATTTTTATTTTTTAAATAAAATAAAAAACAAAAACAAAATTATTAACATTATAAAAAATTACGGCGAATGGGGATCCCTGCAAGGATGGGGGTTTTCGCGGGGACGGGGATGGGGAGACACTCCCCGTCCCCGCCCCGCCCTGTTGCCATTCCTAAACACAAGTGTGAATGGCAACATAAATCCTGTTCATTCATTATGCTCTCTATAAGGCTATAATTATTAGTAAAAAGAGAAAATCTATGATACTGGTAAGACATGACATTAAAAGAATTTTGACCAATCAAAACACCCCGGTGAATTGTGATGAATACCATGCAATTGGTCATCTCTTTTATGATACCAGTTGATTGGATGTAAGTTTTTTTGGTATCATGTATTTTTAGTATCATAGTCGATTAAAAATAAAGATCCATTTGCTTCATAGTCAGAATCAAAATAGGAATGATCCATTCCCATAGTCTGTTCCATTCAGACAGGAATGGGAATGGAAATTAAAATCGATAAGAATGGCCATTCCCTCAAATAGGAGAATGCCATTCCAGCAGGAATGGGAATGAGATTCCGATTCCGTCCAACCAAACAGTTGGAATCAGAATAGCCCATTCCAATTCCGATTCCAGACCCCTATTCCTGCAAGCCAAATGGACCCTAAGTTAATTTCTTCAAATGTATTCCTTTTGGTCTTTGTAGTGCAGTGCAAATGAAATTTGTACTGGTGTGAATGCATAAGAATGCAAATAAGCTGGTGTTTAAATTTCTTACTTTGTTTCAGGTTTGACTTTGTTTTGTTTGTCAGATAAGAGTAAAATAATGCAATATCCACTTTATATGAAAGATAATGAGGGTAAGAGGAAGGATTTTCATTTGGGAGGAGTAAACATCATGCTACTTCAATTCTCTCTCATATAAAGTTTTTTTCTTTTTCCTTTTTTGTTTTTTGATAATCCTTTCACATAATGTTGGATCACAATATCACATCATTCCAATCTCAGAATGATGTGATATTGTGATCCAACAGGATTATCAAAAAGAAAAAAGATAAAGATAAAGATAAACTTTATATGAGAGAGAATTGAAGTAGCATGAAGATGGTGCAAAATTTGCACCAGCTTTTGGGATGCAAGGTTTGCATTGTCCATGGATGTAAATTTAATAAAATTGAAAATTTTGCATCAGGTAGGAGAGCATTTATGGTTACAAGAAAACATGCAAATCTGAAGCAGGTGAAAATGTATATCTCGTTTGGATTTGTACTTCAAAGAAATGGAGCCTTGAGCAGTACTAGGACACTGTTTGAAATAATCTCAAAAAATTCTCCAAAATCTGTATTTAAGGCTCAATTTGGAAGAAGTACAAATGTAAATATGTAGAGTACAAAACCTTATATTTTGTATTATTTTTTATATATTTGTACTGTGCATCTGTATATATTTGTATTTGTACTCTTTTCAAACTGAGCCTAAACAGGGTAATATTTCTATAAAATATTCCCAAAACAAATTTAATATGTATATAAGGCTGTGTTTGGTTGCAGTTCAAATCTTGATCTTGTACAAAATTTGTACGTGGTTTAATTTTGCTTTTGGTTGTTTGTAAATTTGCATCCTTACCTGATACATAATTTGGTAATTTCTTTAGCATTCACTGTACAAAATTTGCACCATCTTCTTCCCACCTGGGCACCTCAATTCTTTCTCAGATAAAATGGGGACCACATCATCTTGCATCCTACCTTATTCCAGGACAAATAACCATCCTCCTATCTCTATTCTATTTCATTTAAAGTGGAGGTCACTTTATTTTATTTTATATTATACTTCTCACAAACAAATAGTACAAAGTCAAATCTGAACAAAAGTAAACCAAAATGCCTTTTGCACTCTCATGCATTTACATCAGTTCAAATGAAGTTTATATCGCAACCAAACGCAGCCTAAAGCCCAATCTACAAACCTCATCCAACTAAACATGTGGGGATTGGTTACATGAATCCTATTTCACCAATCTGATCAATCAAGGTTCATATCCTTTGACCAATTGTGAACTCTTAGATCATCTTCTACCTAAAAGTAACTTTTGAAAAGAAAATTAAGATTAAATTCTGAAATTTCAGGTTAAATAAATAAATCCAACCTGTTATTTTCATTTGTCACAATGGTCCCAATGAATGAAACCATGTAGGAAGGATTTACCCTGAACTTGAGCATAAACTTGAGAAAATCTGACAACATTTGAAACCATGTAGGAAGGATCTACCCTAAACTTGAGCATAAACTTCTTGTCAAACTGTGAGGTGTTTCATTACACGTGTGTAAACACCCACACCCATGCATAAAAGACGGTATGTGTAATCAACCCACATTTGCTATGACATTGTCGCTAGCCCTGCACTGAAACAATTAAATCAAAACCTTTGATTTGTTATCATAGGCCTACTTTGAAGTGAATTCTTGGTGGGGCCATTGCAGTACATCTAAGGCTATGATTTTCTGTTTTAGTCTTGCGCTACAACAGTATCATAGCAAAAGTGAACTCATGTAATAGAACACTTGTATCAGATTCATGTAATAGCACAAACAAGTTCAGCAGATCTAATCACCTAGATTCCAATTAGACTCCTAGATTTCCACCTAGGTTAGTAACATATGTATATGTGGTCATGTGGCATTCAATTTAGCGGGTCAAGAGTTATCAACTGTATTTCTGTCACAACCAAGTCCTCAAACGAAAACATTCAATAGATCCTGACCCTACATCTTTAAGAAAGTTCTTGTTTCTACCTTCTTGATCCTGCAATTCACAGTTGTTCAGAGGATTTGAGTTGAGGTACTGTTTCCCTCTTTCATTTGCTACTGTTCCAACCCATGAAGCTTGGGCCTTCCGAGCCCACTCTTCATTCAATATACCTCCATGTGGATCCGAAGGTGACCTCACTGTCATTCAACTCCTCCCTCACCAAGGAAGTTTCTCAAGTACCATTCAAAGAGTAACGTCAAAAAATAGATGCAGTTGTGACTTGCCAATATTGGACCCTGTTCTTTATTGCACTGTTCTTGGATGGACTCATCATCCCAAATTTTGTTACACAACTCTGATGAGGATATTGTCTATACTGAATATACGGGTAAGACTTTGAGTGGTCCAGCCCAATTCAGGTCCTGCTCCTAAAAGCTAAAATGGGTTCCGAAGTGGATTCAGATTCTAGCTAGAACTTGTAGTTGGGTGAATCTTATCTTGTGTATTTGCACATTCGGATCAGATTACACTGGGACCCATCACTGCTTCGTATTTTTATTGGATTTATGTTCTTGGACTGGGTCAAGGGAAAAAAAACTACAGAAAGCAAACTTTTCCCCCTTTTTTGTCCTCTATGAAATGAGATTCTTTAATTCTTTTTCTACGATTTTCCTGATAAAAGAAAAACCTACTAGGGTGAGTAAGAAAATCGAAAAACCGAACAAAGAATTCGGTTAATCAAACCGGTCTATTCAGTTTCAGTTAACCAAAATAGAAATCGACAGTTAATCGAACCGATTGGTATATATATATATATTATGTATATTATATTTTTTATATTTTCTATACATTATACATTAATAAATATGCATTATATATATAAATATATATTATTCATTATTTAAAATATAATAGTTTATATATATTTATAGTGTTTTATTATATATTTATAATATATTATAAATAATAAAAATTGATGAACCGGCAAACCAAATCAATGATTTATCGAATTAGTAAACCGGTTTACTGATTGGCTTTGATTCGATTTCAGTTACTGATTTTCCAAAAACTGATAACCTTGGTTCGATTTCAAAAATAAGCCCACAGTTCGATTAACCGAACCATAAACACCCCTAATTCTTCCAACATATAAGAATAGCATTGTAACCATTACAAAAGTATCTTACATACAATTGGAATATTTTGGGTGGGAACACTGGATTGTATTAGTACAATTATAAATCGACATAATGGTTTGCATTGTTTTTAATACGAGTCAATTTAAAATGATACCAAATGTATATTATATAAGAAATCGAGGGCTGAGTTGTTGGTGTATTAACTGGTTTGTTCCAGCCTTGATTTGGAATCAAATCCCGCAATGAACACTTTGGGAAATAAATGAGTAGAGGGAAGTTATTAATGATGAAGGAGTAGGGGAAGTTATTAATGGTGCTAATACCAAAAAGATGTGTGGTAGAAGATGTATTATTAAATATAGGGCTGCTAATACCAAAAAGATGTGTGCTAATACCAAATTTGATTCATTTATATTTAAATTCGAATCAGATCTTATTCATCATATTTAAATTGAACTTGGATTGCAATCGGTATTGAATAGTATTAAAAAATTAAACAAAAAGTGATTAAAATATTATATATTATTAATAAAATTAATTAAACTTCACTTTAATATTGTATTTCTTTAATAAAATGAATAAAAAACAACTTGTATAAAACTTAAACTTATAATAATTTAACAGAAATACAACATTTAAGCCAATTTTATTGATACATAAAATACAAAATTTAAATATTTATGAACATATATAGTTAAATTGAATTGAACAGAATCGAATATAATTAAATTGAATTTGAATTACCCTTGACAGGGATCGAATTTTCGAATCTGCACAGTCGGATACTGTTTGCAGCCACAAGGAGAATATTGTACATTTTTAATTTTAATATGCTATTTTATCAACACTGAAAATCTGAACCGGGGTTAAAATTGCTTGAAAATTGGAAGCTTCAAGTGCCAGAACAACAAGAACGACAGACCAACCGACCACAAAGGTCCAAAAGGACACGCTGACATGCTCCCCGCGGTCTAGGCTGTAGAGTCTCGCTGTTTCCGGAGGAAAAAAATTTACAAACGCCGCGACAGCCACTGATTCGTCCAACTGTAATTATAATCAAACTTGGTTCTCCGCCATAAACGTGGCGTACAATTCTCCGTTCTGCCAGTGCCATCACCGCACGAATTATTGCTCAACACTATTCTATCTTAAATTCTAAACAACTAGATCGGACGGTGCAGGGTGCCTGATTGATGTTTGTTTGATTATACAATCTAAACTCTAAGCGTAACAGCACAACGCGTTGCAACACGACTCTTTCTACGAATCCCCAACTTAGCCACGTGGATCGATATAATTAATCTTTACACTTTAATTTGCCAGGTGGCAAGAGTCCAGTGCAAATGTATTGCGGTAAGTAGTTGTCCCTTTATAATGTCCTTCATAATTCCAAGATAAATCAACGGAATCTCATTACCTCAGTGTACCTCAAAATTTACCATCCAGAAATAAATGAGAATGAGAATTTCCGAACCCTAAGAAGTCTGCTGAAGTCGTAAATGGGGAAAATAGTTGTGGTGGTGGAAGATGTAGACGCGGCACGAACAGCTCTCCGATGGGCGCTCCAGAACTTGCTTCGCTACGGCGACATCATTATACTTCTTCACGTCTTCACTCCCACGAGATCGAAAAGCAAGAAGAAACGGAGAGTCCTGAGATTGAGAGGCTTTCAATTGGCTCTTTCCTTCAACGACATCTGCAACACCGTCCTCGATGTATTCCCGTCGTCTTTGATACTTTTCTCCTTTCTTCTTTCTTGTTAGTTTGACGACGTCGTAGAATCTCGTTGACTCAATTCAATTTGCAGGCAAAGGTGGAGATCGTCGTACGTGAAGGTGATTTAGAGGGCCGGACGATCGTGTCGACGGTTAGGGAGGTTGGAGCTTCGGCCTTGGTCGTCGGACTCCATGACCAGAGTTTTCTGTACAAGTAAGTCAATATGAAACTTGTTGAGTGCCACTGCCACATTCTAGAGTCTCTGGTTTTCAATCTTCTTTGAAGAGTTAAAGCACATCTACTCTAGGGATTTTAAGACCCTTTTCAGATTACAGGAGTACGCTTTCGATTCTAATTGCCAAGCAGACCCTAAACTACAGTCAGATTGATTGGTTCATTATTGCTTCCTGAACCTCAATCCTCAAGTCAATTTTGGTGGGTTTTTACATTTTTCTAGCTTCTTCTTGAGAAGTGTTAGGATGTTTCCAAGGTACCATGCTTCCCTCGTCAGCTTGATCAGATGAGCTTATTTGATAGAACGATACCAGAAGAGGCTATAGTCTGTAGAGGCTGTGGACGACTGTCGATGGTCAAAAGAAAATGGCTCCACTTATCTGGACTGTTTCTATTCGTTCTCAGTGGGACCCACAAATTCGACCACCTCGGTCCACTCTGCTCCAGTTTGATAAAGATGCATGTTGTTTGGTTTCCTGAGTCGGAAAGTAAAAAAAAAAGTGTGATTTGGGTTGGGCACATCCCTTTTTGAAAAATTCGACAGATCCTTAATAAAAGGACAAAAACACCCACCGTTGGTTAAGGCAAAAAGTCAAAATATGAGGGTATTTTGGTCTTTTAAACTTAGGTTTTGACTATACAAGCCCAAGCCCAAGCCCAAGCCCAAGCCCGAGGGCTAATTTGTTCCTCTCACTCTCTCTGTCTCAAAGTAGAATCCTTTTTACATTTTGTCCAGGATGGCAATGGCCCAAGGCAACATAACAAACAACCTCAATTGCAGAATTCTTGCTATTAAACAACCATTATCATCTACGCCGACGACGACAAAACGGCCGACAGCAGCAGACAGTTCGACGGGTTTGGAGTTCTCACAGATTGAGATTGCTAGATTGTGGTAAACTTCCTCCTCCCCACAGGACTCATAAAGATTTTCATAGTTGTAATTTTGTAAGAAGGAATCCGGAATAATTTTACTAACCTGGGACTAGGGATGCCATTGGGTCAGGGTGGTAAATCTGCAGTCACCGTCACCGACCTTTTCCTGTTTGGGTCGGGTCAGCCTTGATTGGGTTGGGTAGCTTGACTGAATATAAGTGTACTTGTGGGACGGACAGGTTGGGGTGGGTTTACTATTTCCTCTTTATTTGATCGGGTCCATAATGGGGTTCAGGTTGAGCAAAGCCCATACCAAACCCGATACGTCGACATCCCTACCTGAACAGTAACACCGACTTAAAGGACCTGGTTAGTTTAATGGTTTCGTATTTCAACAAGATGACATGATCACATGGGCTGATTAGACTTACCCAATTTTCCTACAGGTCTATAGGTACATCTAGAGCTGTCAATGGGTCGAATTATCAGATCGATTAAACAGATTATGGCAGTTTTGGTTATATGGTTTGTGTTCCAGTTTACAATTAATTGGATTGAGATTGGTTCTTTGTTATTTCGAACCGATTAGGACCTAAAGGTTTCTTTTTTTTTTTTAAACAATAAATTTAATAGACAGTATATAAAATAATTTTATTAAGAACATTTCTTTTATTAACATATAAACGGTTTACTATTTATGTTCATTTTAGGTTATATTAACAAAAATGAAAATCCAATTTGTTATCTTGATAGGTAATTATGGATGCCAACCCAATTAACCCGAGTGATAATTGGTTCTGTTTTGGGTTTATTTTATAAAAGCAGATTAATAATTATTTTGGGATTGGTGTTCCAAACCAGATCCGACTCATTGACAGCTCTAAGGACAGCAATTCTCTAATAAAGTTGCAGCCCATAGAGCACAAAAGAATATTGGGTTAATCTGGTTTTTAATATTACTGATCAAAATAAAAAAGAAAAAGAAAAACTATGCTTTAATTTCATTCTCTCCTTGGTTAATGCTTGTTCATTTTAATTTATTTAATGCAATTTACTTACAGTGTCCCTCCTCAAGTCCCCCAGAAGATTCCATACCGAATCCTTCCAAGCCCATTTCACATAATATGGAGAAGATCAAGGAGAAAAAAGGAAAGCACATGAAAGTATATACAGGAAGCTCTAAACCATCCAATCACATACCAAACCATTGTTGTTAATGGTATTCTTGGGTTGGGCCTGGCTCGGGCCCCTAACAGTACAGAGTAGAAAAAGAACAAATCCTTGCGATGAAACAAAGTGGGGTGGGTGTTGACATCACAGTGCCGTCTGCGCTTGCGAAGTTGTTTGTTGAAGATCCGGCCATGTCACTTTCTTTGTACATACGTGAATACTACTGAGGTGCCTTTTTTTGTGCTTTACAGATATCTATGCTGAATGACCGAGTGGCCTTTCCTTGGCTTTATTGCTTTTCGTTTCCTTTTCTTACTAGGTGAGGTCGGTCCATTGAGCAGAAGACTAAGACAAAATGACATGTTCCACTTACCACCACTCTTAGAAATAGAACTGAGATGAGCGAGGCCACTGTTCAAACAACTCTGATACTTTGAAGAGTGGACGTTTGAAATTGAATAAAATATATACACGAGGAGTCTCAGGTTTATAATTCAAACAAAGGCATTTGGCTTGATAGACTATTGGTTCGAGTTTTGAATGGTCAGGTTTTGTGGCTTCTGTACTGTCCTCCCACAGAAATATCCCACTGCTCAGCCGTTTAGCTTAGGTGCAGCTTCTAATTTTCAACTTGGTTTATTTCTGGTTGTTGTTGTTTGGTTTGACTTACAGCTTTCTTTTGATGCTGCTTGTTTCATTGAGGTGGTCTTGAAGTTTAGTTCTGTCCAACCATCACTACTGCAACTCTACTATTTTAGATTGAAAATTCTCTCTCACACACACATCAGTACGTAGGGGTGTGTTATTATCTCCTAGAACATCTACTTTTGACCAGTAAGTAGAGGTTTGCCCCACTTAATTAGAACTAGATGTGCTCAGAATCAGATCATTTCCTTTATCTCAGCCCAGAATTTAACGAAATGGTTGGAAGTTGGGAGTTGGGGCCCTGGATATTTATGAATTTTATATATAGTTGATGTATTGATAACTGAAATATCTTTTTTCGTGTGTATTAAAGTCTTTAAATGCAGGAATTTTCATCCTATATATATTTAGATTGTGTTGGGATATGCTTCATGATCTGTGTTTTTATAGCCCAAAAGAACAAACTCCAATTGCGCTTAAAAGTGTTTGGTCAGATTATAATATTTTTAAAAAACAATTTTTACAAGAAACTCAAGACACTTTTTTGGTTCCCACATATAAAAAATAAAAGCTTATCCAAACAAAGTCTTATTATTGATTAAACAGATTTCAAGGATGGGGCTCTGGTATAAGAACATTGTAACGTTAATATATCTTTTTCATTTTTCCTGATGCTTATTTGGATATTAGCAAAGAAGGTAAACCACTTAGGGCCATACTGTAAAGTTTGGGAAGAGTAATATTTACAGTGGAAAACCTAGTATTTTGTATATCTAAGCCTTGTATTTGCACTGTATATATTTGTATTTATACTCTTTCTAAACTGAGCCTTAAAATTCTTAGTCTTCAACATTTGGCACGTAGCACCAATAATAGTGTGCTACTCTCGAGTAGATCTGTTCATGGGCTGGGTTTAGGGCTCAGCTTCTCACTATTTGGGCATGGGCTTTGGGATGGGCCATTCAAATTTTGGCAAAAACCAAGCCTGAGTCCAATCCATGAACAGGTCTACTCTCTGAGCCTCAATATTTGTGATCCACTTGAAAATTAACTTTTGTAATCAAATATTAAGAGGGAAATTTTGTTTTATTATTATACCCCTTTTTACTTCTTAGGGAAAAGAGTTAATCTATATCTATATATATAACAAGATGGTCCACACCAGCATGCCTCTCATTGCTCCATTACCTTCACCGTGCATTCTCCTTGACTCTCCCTCCTCTCCCCTTCCCACCACTCCCATGCATTAAGCCATGTCACCATTCCCAACCCAACTACCTAAAAATATTTATGGAATTTCTCTCGTATGATATCTCCTTTAAGTCATTAGGAAACATATCATGTTACTCAATTCCCAGTCAATTCCTAAAATCTCTCCCCCATTCCGTATTCACACTCTCATTTAAAATATTCATATTGATTAATAAATAGATAAATACAGGTAATGTTTAATAAAACCCATATTCAATGAGTTTTAAATAGTGTTATTACTAAAAAATAATAAATACAGTTAGTAAAATATCAAAAATTAAATATTCTTATTAGTACGGTTAGTAAAATACCAAAAATTATAAATATTGTTATTAATTAACTCATCATGACTTTTTAAAGTATTTTGGATAAATACTTTTATATTCATGTTAGTTAACAATATTTTATAGAAATTGAAAACTCTTTAACTAATTTCTATAAAATTGATAATTATATTTAATAATTATAAAAAAGTATAAAATTTTAGTCATTACTATTATTATAGTTAATAACCGAATGCAGATGAGGGAATAAAATATTATAATGTTGGAAAACAAAATTATTAATTAACTTATACTATAAAATAAAAGATAAATTAGTGTAATTTTGTTAGTAAACTACTTAATAAAAATTTAAAATAATTTTCAATAAATCTCCATAATTATACAAATGTAATAAATTTTTCAAAAATTTTCATAAAACTACATTATCATAAAATAACATTTTGGAAATTAAAAGATATAATATTGTACTTTTGGAATATTTTGAAAATTTTAGGAAAATTTGTTACATTTGATAGATTTTGGAAAACTGTTAAAAATTGTGTAATTTTCGTTGTAAATTATTAAAGATAAATGAGTATGGGAAAGGGAAACTGTAATTTAAACCAATAATTAAACAAATTATTAAGATAAATTAGTATAATATTGGAAAAAAGAAATTATTGATTAGTTTATATTAGAAAATATAAGATAAATTAGTATAATTCTATAAGTAAACCATTTAAAAAGAAAATAAATTATTTAATAACAATTTAAAAATAAATTTGAATAAATTTTAAAAATTACACAAATATAATAAATTTTCCAAAATTTTAATAAAATTACATTTTTGAAAATTAATTAAAATTTAGTGTACTTTTAGAAATTTACCATGTGGCTATATACTTTTTCTCATTTTTATCATCAAATTGAATATTGGGTTGACGGGGAGTGGGTGCCTTGCCTTGAACCCGCCCGAGTGGGGAAAATTCGATGATTCTCCATCCTTGATGAGGAGTGGGTGTCTTGCCTTAAACTCGCCCAACATTGAGGACGAGGTGGGGAAATTTGAGGATTCCCCATTCCTAACAAGGAGTGGTTCCTTGCCCTGAACCTACCTAACATTGGGAATAGGGTGGGGATGGGGTAGAGTGTCTTGACTTATGGTCTACGAGGCGGGGACAGGGATGAGGTGCCTTGTCTCGAACCCGCCCCGTTGCTATTCCTATAGAATTGTTAATTATTAGTGAAATTAATAAAAATGTTAGCTTTCGTAATTATTTTTATTTATTTAAAGTCAATCAAAATTCCATTTAAAAATAATGAAAATAATAAATGATGAGGGTGATTTTGCCCTCCAATGACATCATGACACGTGGCACTCAGAACTATCTCATAAGACCTCAGTGCTATGTAAGCATTGATTTCAGAAATACTCCAGGCACACCTCGCCTACCTTAGCTATCCCAACACCACCTCAACAGGGCCGACCTGCGGACATCTCAGCAAGGTCGAGTTGGCGTAAGAGGTGACCTACTTCTATCAACCTAACTAAGACCCGATTGGCGGTTTGCAAGATGTGGTAGCTGACCTCCTTTGCGAGTAGGTTATCGTCTACAAATCCTCTGGAATCACATCGCTACATCGACGGAGCTAATTCCTGCCCCGCTTGCTTCGAAGGCAATCGGGTCTATCGCCTTACGCGGAATCTGTCTTTGAGCATGAAACCACCTCCGAACGAGGCGGGTTCGTGATCTCAAACATGCTACATGAAGCCCACGATGCATCCCATTGATTAGAAAGGTACATGCGATTTAGCACTCAACTCTCTTGCTCTTTCGCTTTCAAGCATTCTTAAACTCTTTGCTAACTTAAGAATCGAAGTGCCCACCCTGGGTACTCTGACCATTGTTTCCTCGCAACTTGGTTAGCCGACCTAGTCAGTCTGTCATTCGAGTTGTCCTCTAGCAGAGAGTTACTAAATCATGCACCATTAATAACAATTATTAAAATTACTACAAATGATTAATAAAATTAAACTTATTAAAAATATTTGTTCATAAAATTAACAATAATATTTTTTTGTAAACCAACATTAAATGAAAAATACAATTTTTTAAATTTTAAATATTAACAACAATTTTATATATTTTTATTTAACTAACAATAAATTTTGATTGTTAATTTATCAATTAATTAATAGTAAATAAAATTATTCAATCTTTCAGATTTTCGGTCCCCGCTATTTTAAAATAAAATTGAAATATCATGCTATATTGCATGATGATTTATGTAGATCGATGTGAGTCTTGAATCAAAATACATGTTTACTTACTTTTCATTGGTTCACATTTACAAGTTGTACCTATGATCACCTACCTTAAAAACTTTAATAACGTTAAAGATGTCAACTATTATATTTCACTTTATCACTAGGTTACTTTTATTTCACCATGTAAATTTTGCACCATAGATTTTGCCAAACTCTCAATATGAAACTTTGGTGGGTTGTTTCTCACAAAAATAGAGATTGGATCGTGACCCGATCTGAGACATCATGTAAACGGTTAAAGCATGCGAAGATGCTTCACGCTGTTAGTTAACCAAAACCAGACGTCGTTCAATTCTCCTCTCCTCTCCCTTGAGTGTCGTAGACGAGACACTCGTTCTCTTCTCCCTCTCTCCCCCATCCACCCTGTGGCGACTTAATATCCATTACAGCTGGCGACAAACAACCATCATCAACAAATGGATCAACCTTAGGTATTATCTTCTTTGCATCTCTTCTTCTTCCATGAAAACTAACACTGATCATTTTGGATGGCCGCCATCCACCCAGCGGTGACTTAACAACCATTACCGCCGGCGATAAACAACCATCACTAGCGGTGGTGAATAAGTAGCTCCTTCAATCATCGGTTGTGGAACACCCATTTTGATGTAAATGCTACTCCTCCAACAATAAGGCTGGTTGGACTCCATTAGAAGCACACACACAAGTCCACCACTGACGGTTAGGCCTACATCGGAAATCGAGAAGGAGTTTCTGTAGATTACATGTGAGCCTGCTCATAGAAACAGGACCATTCTCACCATAGGATAACGATTGAGGACATGGAGCCCAGAACAGACACCTACAACCATGAATTTGTAATGGCCATCAACAACACTACAACTTGGAGAAGAAAACCTGCTTTTCGAGTGTCCATCTTCAAAATCCAAATGAGAAACATGTGATCAAACTCCAGGAATTTTTTGCCAATAAATCCAACCAATTATTTAAACAAAACCTGAAAGTTGCAACAGTTATCTGAAACTCTGACCAACATTACAACCCGAATAAGAATCTACCACTTCTGACATCCAATTTCAGGCCCAAATGAGAAAGTCTTCTATATTGAACGACTCTTTACAAAGAAACAAAACAAGATAACTAAAAAACAAAACATAGCAGAAATTATGTTCAAATGGAATATCTGTCATGACTTTTGAAACTCCTCTTCTTGTTCTGTGATGCTGCACGATTTGGGCACTCCTAGCTAGCTGTGACCCGGCTTCTGACTGGAACGAACGACACCTGAGAGGAAGGAGAAAGTGAAGGGTTCTCGGGGAGTCATCCCGATGGGAACACTCCAATGGCTTAGTTAGAACTGAAGGAAACCACAAAGAGAGCAGTGAGTAAGAGTGCTCAAAGTGCTTAAGCTTCAATACCTCTTTTCTATGTGGGTTTGGGTTCTTTTTATGTTGGAATCAGGTCATACCTGGAATAACCGCCATCGCCCTTGTCGTTACTACCAGGGCAGGTGTGGCAGGCGCAGGTTGCCGCCACAAACTGCCATTGCCAGGTATGGGCTTGACAGACGTGTCATGCCTTCCAGAGGAGGCAAACAGAA